CCTAGCTATCCTGGAACTCACTCTGTAGACCTGGCTGGCTTCAAACTCAAAAGATCCATCTGCCCCTGCCTCTAGAGTGCTGGGGAAGGGCGTGTGCCACCACTGCCCAACCAACAGATTTTCTTAATTGGACTCACTGACATGAGAAGCTCCAATGCACTGTGGGCAGTACCATTCTTCAGGTTTGGGCTCTGGACTGTTTAAAGAGTAGAGAAAATAAGCTGAGTATTTTATTTTTATTTTATTCATTCCTTTATTCTCTCTCTGCTCTTGAATGTGATGACCATCAGCTTAGTTCCTGCCTTGACCTCTTCCCAATGATGGACTATGACATGGAATTGGAAGACAAATACTCTTTCCCCGCAAGTCAATCTTTTCGGGGTGTTTCATCATGGTAAAAGAAGTGAGACTAGGACATGTGGAGGATGCACCTTTATTCTGCACCACCATGGTTCAAAAGGTGCCCAGAATAGACAAATAGACTTCAATAACTGTAGGGGATGCTGTGATACTCAAACTCAAACCGATTGCATGGTCTTGAAACTACGAAACAGACACATGGCAAACAGTATTCTCTGGCAGCCTGCAGAAACAAGGGAATATCTGGGATGGCTCCTCTACTCCAAAATGAACACAGAGAGATTTGGAGTGTGGGATCCATGCACAGATTTTAAATACTTTAGAATCCAGAAAAAAGTGCACACACACACACACACACACACCTCAACTTGGAGCCATCAGAGAAAGAACAGCTAGAATGCCATCATCCCTATCATCACTAAGGAAATCTCCACTCTCCTGTCCATGCAGGTACAGAGCCAAAGCACAGGACAAGGTTCCAGGGTAACAACAGAAGAGGATTTACATACAAAATCCTGTGACAACTTTGAGTCAAGGTCTACACACACCTTTTGTGCCAGCTCATTTGTGGTGTCAACTGCTCTTCTATAATGCCTTTGTGAAGCATAGTCTTGATAAGGCAATGGTTTGGCTATTCCCAAGAGGCAGCTCATCAGAGAAAACTGGGACTTCTACCCTGTGATTTGTTAACTGACATTAAGGTATCACTTCCGGGGTTTGCAGGATTGGATATACATTCATTCCAATACTGTTTACCTGCACCCCCCACTGCCTGTTCATAACTGCTTCTTCAATACTGAAGATGTATCTTGAATAACAGGTGGCTAAAATGGAAACACCCCACTACCCCTAGCCCCACTTCAAGGTATCATCAAGATAGCTACAGTAATAAAAACACCCACCAAAGGCTCAAGGAAGAAGCTGAGGTTCATTCTCAATATTATGTTTTCCCTCAGAGTCCATATCCCATATATCTCCAGAACCTTCCTTCACACTGTCTAAATTTCTAATATTTTACAAGCAGGTCCACTTCTTTCAAGCTTATCCTCTCTGTTTCAGTTTTTAGAACTTCTTATCTAGAATTTGAGATGAATCCATTTCCTTCCTTCGTTCACTTTGTGACCCTCAAATCATATTTCTACACAGCAGCTGGAGTGAATTTTTAACATATCCACCTCAGTAAGATCTGGACACTGACTTAGCAGGAATTCCATGTTCCTCACCGTGGGTTATGTCTCTCTGTTCTCTGCTTCCCTACTATACCCACCCACACCTCAGGACATTCTTTTCCTAACCATACTCTGGCTAGATGGGAGTTAACAACTTCTCAGTCTGAAGCATTAATCTCATTTTTTTTTTTTGAGACAGATTTTCTCTGTGTAGCTTTGGAGCCTGTCCTGCAACTCACTCTGTAGACCAAGCTGGCCGCGAACTCACAGAGATCTGCCTGCCTCTGCCTCCCAAGTGCTGGGAGGAAAGGCATGCGCCACCACTGTTCGGCATTAAGTTCATTCTTAACTACTTCCTGTCTTGAAGTTCCTGCACACTTGGCTGGTCATTCACATGCTTCAGTTATCACATTAGATGGCTCTTCTCTACCAACCCCTAAATCCAGAGACAACCTCCGTTTGTGTCCTTTAGATTTATTTTCCCTCAGGGAGCTTGCCAAAGTCAGTGTTCGCTGATAGTACAATACTGTTCTATACTTCGCAGTATGCTAAGTTTTATAATACCAGGAAGGGTTGCTGATTCTTTTTTTCTCTTCTATTTTCTTTTATTTTATTTTCCCCTTTCTTTCTTTCTTTCTTTCTTTCTTTCTTTCTTTCTTTCTTTCTTTCTTTCTTTCTTTCTTTCTTTCTTCCTTCCTTCCTTCCTTCCTTCCTTCCTTCCTTCCTTTCCTTTTTTCTTTCTTTCTCTTTATCTTTTTTTTTATCATTTTATCCTCAGCTGTATACTTACATCTAGTCTACAGTCAAGCAAGGAACCAAGTCTGTGTTCAGGGTGTAGAATACAGAGGAAGTAACAGCTGCTTAACACAGTGGGTATTTTCACGTTTCAGCCTTCTACAGTTCTGCCAAGTCTAAGAATCCATTAGGGAAACATCAAGATGTCATGTAAATTCACTCAGAATAACTCATCACACATGGCATCCAAACTCCCACTCAGGGTAAGGGGAATCCGTCCTCACTGCTTTCACCACGGAACCATCAGAAGCTGCACATGGTCACCACCCACATCACAGCAGTATGATCTCATCCAGTTGAGCCCTGAATGAGGAAAATGAATGGGCAGTTTCAGTTTATAGAGGAAGAATCTGCCTCTGGAAACAGCTTTGCCAGTCACAAAGTTGATCAAAGTACGCCAAGAGGATGGCCTAAGCATGCCAAGGACACAATAAGCAAATAGATTAATAACCCACCAGGCAGAGAGAATGAAATAAGGATTCTAGGCAAAAATCATCAGTCAAGCTCCTGGTACCAGTCTTAACATTCAGCTTTCATAGTGGCCTTCTAGTTGCTACTGGTTTATGCTTGTTGGGTATATTCCAATGATTGTGTGGATTCAAGTGTGGACAAGGTGGCAGTGGCTGTGGCACAGAGGTAAAGTACATGCCTGGTACATGCAAGGCCCTGAGTTCATTTGACATGTTTTAAAAATAATATGGGTAGCAACCGTCTCTGAGCAGCTCGGCTACCTACTCCCACAGCTCTCCACCTCTCCAGAGCTTCCGAACCTTCTAGATCAAGTGGTGTAGATTTGCCTTGAGAAAACCACACGAGTGACCAGGCCTTTCAAGTATCTTTGGTGTGGGGTAAGGTCATGTGCAGCAGAGTTAGAAAGACCCAAGCTCCATTCTCAGTCCTACCACTTCTATGTTACACAAAGTTCCGGGAGGCTCAGTGTTCTCATCTGTAGAAGGGGTCTCAAAACCCCTCCTACTTTATGAGGTACTGGGGACATTCAAGAAACCAGATCATGAAGGGCTGTGGCTATAGCTTAGTTGGTAGAGTATCTGCCAGGCAAGCATGGAGACATGAGTTCCATCTCCAGAGCCTAAATAAACAAAGCCAGGCATGGTGCCACACACTTGTGATCCTGAGCAGGGGAGGCAGAGCAATGGGTCCTTGCAGTTTGCTGGCTATCCAACCTAACCTAATTCACAACTTTCAGGCCAGTGAGAGAGCCTGTCTCAAAAACAAGATGGATGACACTCAAGAAAGAACACCTGAGGTTGACCTGTGGCCGCCTCATGCATGCTCTCACATGTGTCATGTACAGACACTCACTTACCATGCATCACCCCCCCCCCACACACACACACACATACATCGTCTCCTAACCACAGGAAGACAGAGTCCACAGCAGCCTTAAGAACAGTGTTAGAAGCAGCTCCGTCAAATGATCTCCTTCCTTTGTTTGAGCAGAGACCAGCCATGGAGCTGGACTGTGGCAAAGAGTTCATGCTCCTGGATGGAGAAGATGTGGACTCAGGTTTGCCTCTGCTTTCTCCTGGCTTTGCGGGCTATGGAAGCTATTAACTGTTTCTCATGCTCAAGCCCCTATCTTTACGTGTGTTGGAGACTTGGTCCCCTAGCCTGTGACACTGCTGGGTGGTGGTGGTGGGCGCAAAACCTGAAAGTGGTGGACCATAGTCAGGAGACGTTATGTCACTGGGGGAGAAGAATCCTTGGTGGGATTTTCTGGCCTCACCCTTCTCCTTTCCCTTTTACTTCCTGGTTGCCATCTTCTTCACAAAATACTCCTGGTGTTGCCTTGGACACAGCGAGAGCAACAGGGCCAACAGAGCACAGCCTGGAACTTTCAAGTCTCCGAGTCAAAACAAACTTTTTTTTTGTTTTGTAAGTTGATTACTTCAGGTATTCAGTGACAGTCACAGAAATCTGAACGACAGTAAGCTTTCTATTCTAATTGTGTAGGTAATAAACTGCAGTGCAAAATGACTAACAAGAATACCTGGTTATGCGAGTGTTTGTTAAATGGTAAAGCATTGTCATTTATACACATACTGAAATAAATCACACTCCTTCGAGAGCAAACTGTCAGCTCCCTTTTGCAAACAGGAAGAGAGCAGACCCAGAGGACTCAAGGAAATGTGCATATGATAACAATCTTGCATACTTATTTAGTGAAATGCTGGCTGTGTTTATTGCTTCTATTGCCCATTCATATGTTTTGCTTTCTTTCCTTTCTTAATCTCTGGGGAAGCTACAACCTACAAAATTATGACTAAACTCCTGCTGATACTCAAGTCAGCATTTTCTCTACTAAAAAGCCTCCTCCTGGGCCAGCTAGCTGACAGATGCTGGAAATAGCTGCAATGGACTCTCTGAATGGCAGACACAGCATAGAATGGTCTAATGAGTATTCCCTTCCTGGGCACTCCCAGGCTAGCGCAGTGGTAGAAGACCCTTATGTAAATATGGAAACCTTTTGGAGGCACATCTGACTTCTGTCTCCAGTTTCTCAAAATCGAGTTGCTAACTGCCCTTCCTTCCCTCCTTGCACTCAGAACAATCTCCTGTTCGGCAATGAGCTGAAAGGGAGTCCTCTGAGTTTGCTCAAGTTGTAGCCATTGCTTTCAAAGCTACAGGAGGCACCAGCATCAGAATCAAGCTTACTTCAATGACCAGCGTCTCATTTGTGGGTCCTGGTGCATACAGGCGTTCTGGGTGGTTAAAGGACCGCTGGTATTCAAATGTGGTCCCTGCGAAGGTGAAGTCCCCAGGCCAGTCGATGTTCCAGCCCCCAGTGAGGTAATACTTTTGACTGAGGCTTCGAACGGCAAGATAGCTGGAAGAAAGCTGCAGCTCCTGGATCTCAATGCTGTGGGCCCCAGGTGGGATGGTGACCACAGGATAATATTCTGAATGGAAAGAGAAGAATCTTTTTTAGTTTAACACACGGTATATGGGAGAAAACGAACAGTGACTAGAAATGCCCAGAGGTGTGCAGTACCCATTTGGATGGAGCCTTTGAGATTATTCACCCCTATTTTATTAAGTAAAAAGATCAATAATTTCATTTTCTTGTTTTGAAGATTTATTCTCTCTCTCTCTCTCTCTCTCTCTCTCTCTCTCTCTCTCTCTCTCTCTCTGTGCATGAATGCACATGCATGTACGAGTGCACGTGTGTGTGTGTACCCATGTGTCACAGCATGCATGAGGAAGCCAGAGGACAACTTTGGTGAGTCAGTTCTTCCCTTCCCCCTTGGGTTCTGGGGATGGAATTCAGGTCATCAGGCTTGGTGGCAAGTGCCTTTCTCTGCTGAGCCATTTTGTGGTGCACTCACCATACTTCTGAAGTACAATGCATAGATGAAACTACTCACTCTAAGAAACTTGCCACGTGGCAAAAGCTATCACTGCTGTTGGGTGAGCTAGGATGAGATTACCACGGTCCCCTCCCCGTTCAGAGGCGGAGCGGGGCACTGCCAGCTGTGATGAAATGAGGGACAGCAGCAGCTCTTACCGTTCGCTTTGTGCTGACTGAGGTACAGGCCTTTATAGAACTTGCAAGTTGAATTGTCACCTTTGCAAACACCACATGCATCTGACACTGCCTTAGAGCCAAGTTCATGGTCACATCCCACTGGCTGTGGCGAACAAAAGCAAGGGAAGAAAGATCGAAGATAAGCAAAGCCAGCGAGGAAGACTCACAGGAGGCAGGCAGCTCTGCTAAGGGGGGAGCTGGACCGTTATGTCAGACCGGGGCTCAAAGTTTTCCTTTCTTTGTAAATAATACATTTATTCTTCGAAAAATGTCATTCATGTATACACTGTATTTTGATTCTGTATATCCCTGTTCCCTTCCAGTTCTCTTGGAAGTCCCCCATACATCTCACTCTTAACTTTATGGCTTTTCCTCAGTATATTGTTATTGTTTTAACCTGCTGATTCTAATGAGTGCTGGTTATATGCATACAGGTGTGTGTGTGTGTGTGGGGTCAACCACTGGGACCCTGGGCAATCTACTGGTGGCCAACTTCCCTCTAAGAAAAGTGTCTCTTCCTCTTTAAGCGACTGCATAGTTGATCAAATTGCACAGTTGATCTAAGGCTTAGACTCCACCTCTCTGCTAGAGTGAAGAGTCACGGGCTATTACCAGATAGTCCAACTGGATGAAGCATAAAAACCCTGAGCAGTATACATTCAGACTCACTCTACACACATATATGTATGCATACACATGCACATATACACATATACATACACAAACACACACAGGCATGAACCCACACATGTGCACACCTATACACAAACCCACACACACACATAAACACCCATATGCATACAAATAAGCACAGACACACATGTACACACAAGCACACACAAGCACATATAAATACACATGCACACACCTGAGCGCATTTAAGCATACACACGCATATCATGGAAAAGGATGAAGTGTTCACAGTGAAGTTTAAGTGCAAGGAGCAGTGAGTCCAGAAAGAGAGAACTGTAAAGAGAGGACAGATCTGTCCCCATTGCACTTCTGAGGTTCTACTATGTGGGGAATGTGCTTGGTAAACAGGTACTGAGACATCAACATTATTTCCATCTGTGTTTTTATAGCAATGCAAAGTTGGCTGTAACCTGCACACCGTCCCCCTAGGCTGGGAAGTGGCTGAAGCAGGAAATTAAGGGGTCATTTGAAAAAGGACCTCAGAAGTGTGCATGGCAGCTGGACACTTTGTCCATCTTCCCAGTGTATACTGCAGGGACTTTCCCAGCCATCTTCACAGCACACAGGAGACCAAACCTGACTGCACAGCCTGGGGCAGACATGTCCTCTTACTTCACAAATCCCATCGATGCAGACATCGTTTCTGTGTGGGGAACAGGGTGTCCCGTCTTTCACCTTGCCGGACATGGCGAAAAAAAACTCGAAGTTTTCAGCCTTGCAGTAGAGCTTACATCGATCTTCCTCTAGAGGCAGAGAGATAAAAGGAGGACTCAGTCAAGACTAGCCTGTGTGCAAAACAGTATGGCCACCAGACAGAGCAATGAAATCAACTTGGAAAACTATTAGGAGCAAAGGTAACATTCTATATAATTTTGTTTGTGAGTGTGCCTGTGTGTGTGTGTGTGTGAAGACCACATGTATGTATCTTTCAAAAGACAAATTCCATTTGGCAGCCTATAAAAAGCCAATTAAATATTGATACCTGTAGCTGAAGTTTTCTTTGGTCCTGCTCAGCCCCATGGACCCCATAGCCACTTAAAAATAATCCCTCAGAAGATTATAGTAATTAAAACTACTCAGCCATTAGCTCAGGCCTACTACTGAGTAGCTCTTAATTTAAACTCAGCCCATTTCTGTTAATCTATATGTTTCCACGTATTCCATGGCTTTACCTGTGTGCCATTACATGCTGCTCCCTGGATGGCAGGCTGGCGTCTGCTGACTCAGTTTTTCTGTTCCCAGAATTCTCCTTGTCTGTTTACCTCATACTCCTATACTTCCTGCCTGGCTACCGGCCAATCAGCATTTTATTTATCAACCAATCAGAGCAACATATATTCATAGCACACAGAAGGACATCCACAGCAGATACCAAAAAATTGTGGGCTGTTTTGTTTTGTTTGAGGGAGAGTCTCCCTGTGCAGCCCTGACTGGCTTAGAGCTGTTTATGTAGACCTGGCTAACTTTGAACTCATAGGCATCAACCTGCCTCTGCCTCCCAGGTACTGAGATGAAAGGTGTGTGTCACCATGCTTGGCTTGATACCTAAGAATTTTGTATTCCTAATCTTTAGGAATCATCACCACGTACAGGATTGCTGGGTTGAACAGCCAGCCTCCCCAGACTCTAAGTATTACAGACTTTGTGGTCTCTGAAGTTAATGAATAACAGCAGATACATGAAAGGGTATCTTTGTATTCTAATGAAACTTTAACTTTTACAAACAGTTTAGGTTATATAGTCTGATGATTTTGGTTTGGGACTGGATCCCTATAGATATTTATACAGCCTGTAAAAAGGTAAAGTTGATACACCTTGAAAACAAAAGCATGTAGTCAACCATGTTTATAAAAAAACATCAAATTAAAATGTCACTAATAGAAAGGGCAAATAAGCTAATTCTAGAGGCTAAAAAAGTATTTTGTGTTGGTCATTAATCTCCTGAGAAATTTCTAGTATCATAGGAAAGAAAAAGAAAAAAATAATGTAGTTATAGAGCTCTTGTTATCTGGAAGGAGTAAGACAGCCAATTCCTTCTATGGAGACAGCAGTCCTTGGCCAGCAGCTCCAGATGACGTTTTTCACATGGGACCTTCCGTAGGCGACACTGAGTGATATCCCTAACAACAGTTTCACCCAGATGTGTAAACAGTTCGCAAACAGTCCTGCTTCACAAAACCCTTCAATAGAAGGCAAAACTAAAACTTAACCATGAGAGAAAAATGTATTACTGTGGTCAAAATATGTAGATGTGTGGGTGGATAAAATGTTTCTCCCAACCACAATGTTTTTATTTTTCAAATAACAACTTTAATATCTTCTAATTCTTATAAATGAGATTAAGGAGTTGGATGGTGTGTGTGTGCATGGGTGTGTGCTTATGTGTGTGCACGTGTATGTGTGAATGTATGTGTCTTTTCTCTTCTTTACCAGTCCCAGGATTTGAAAAGTTCTAATAAAAGTGTTTTTTTTTTTCTTTTTTTTTCTTTCTTTTTTTTTTTTTTTGTGTGTAGTACAGATTTCCAGGCATGACCTTGCCCTTCAAAAACAGAATGAAAAAGATAAAAGAGAAGTTCACCGCTGATGGGGAGAAGATCTCCATTTATGACAAAGCCTTCCCCTGGTCTTTTGGTTTTGCTTTGTTTTTGAGACAGTCTCACTATAGTAGCCCAAGTTGGCTTCTGACCCATCCCCTCTGTTTCTTACTTTTAAGCATGAAATTGATATGACCTAGAGTCATTTGGAAGGAAGAAACCTCAAATGAAGAATTGCTCAGATCAGATTGGCCCATAGGCATGTCTTCCAGAGACTGTCTTGATTGGTGATTGATATGGAAGGGCCTAGCCTACTGTGGGCAGCACCATTCCCCAGGCAGGTAGGTCTGGACAATATAAGAAAGCCAGCTAAGTATGAGCTAGAGAGAGCCAGTAAAAAGTGTTCCTCCACGGTTTCTGCTTGAGGTCCTGCCCTGACTGCTCTAGAGGATGGGCTGGGATCTGGAATTACAAGATGAAACAAACCCTCCTCTCAGCCAAGTTTCTTTTGTTCAGGATGGTTATCACAGTAATGAAAAGCAAGCGAGGGCATCTTTTCTGCCTCAGCCTCCTGAGTGCTGAAATTACACGTGTGTGCTCTCCCACCTGGCCTTCTCCTGTTCTTAAATGGTAGGAATATGCCAGACTTTCAAATAGTGGTCAGTCTCCTCTGGTTCTAAGTTTCATCTGGAGAGGGAGGTGAGAACAAAAGCCCTAACTGTGCTGTCTCACTCTGGGCAGACAGGAGCTCCTGAGGCAGCAAATTCTCACAGAGTGAGTGACTAAAAACCACACACTCTCTTGTTACCAAAGTCTGCCATGTAATAGTGAAGCTACACTGAAGCCCAAAGCATTTTCCCAGCTACAGACTTTCCTAACATTCCCATTGCATTTCAACACAGAACCCGCTTAGTGGGTAACAACAGAACAGAATGCATTAGTGCTACAGATAATGAATCACACGTGAAGACCAAGGAACACCCAAGAATCCAGAGGACAGGAAGACAGCAAAGAGAAGGACACAGTCTCAGAGGAAGAATTATATACGGGAAACTTGAGGTTGCAGGAGTGCACACACAAGAGAAAATGCAGTTTGGGATGTTAGAAATATCAATGTGGCCTATCCCATCTGCTGTCTGCTGGAACCTGCTGTGTAGCATCCTTCCCTGTTCATTACTCACCCCCAGTTGAACACCTGTACTGATAGAGAACTTTTCACTTGTATGGGGGATCATATGCCCCTTTTGGACAGCTGGAATTCCTGTATCCATTAAAAAAAATTACAGCTATTAAAGCCAGGTATGGTAACACATCTGTCATCCAAGGACTCAAGAGGCTAAAGTAGGAGGATTGAGAATTCTAGATTAGTCTGTGCTACAGAGTGATACTCTGATTCCTTTTTAAAAAAGGCAACAACAAATTCCCCAAACTAGTCCTTAAGTATAGACTAAGTAGCCTGCTTAGATGCTGGGGATACAAAACATGCTGAAGATGTACCAAAGGCTTGGTCCTTGTGGACCTGAAGTTCTTGTGAAGATAACCAATAGACAAAAAAAGTGAACTTGAGACTGGAAAGATGGCTCAGTGCTTAAGAGCAGTAAGAGGAAAGGACCAGAATTGAATTCTCAGCATCTATATGGTGGCTCACAGTTGTCTGTAAGTCCAATTCCAAGGGATCTGTCCATAAACATACAGGTAGGTAAAATGTTTATACACATGATAAAAATAAAAAAATTAAAATGTAACAGTAAACTCATACTAAGACTAAAGCAGGACAAAGGCTTTAGAGAGTAAGTGACAAAAGAATGTGTTGGCTAGGTCTCTCTGAGAAGCCGAGATCCTAGGACATTTTGAGATCTTACATAGATGTGCATTGTGGAACAGTAGTTGAGGATGTGTTACACTTGTTTATGCTGTGGAACATATGTTTAATGGTGCAAAGATGTGCTGCATTCTTTTATGTTGCATTTGTTTAACTCTGTGAAGCTGTGTTACTTTGCCTGCCTAAAACACCTGATTGGTCTAGTAAAGAACTGAACGGCCAATAGTGAGGCAGGCAGGAGAAAGGATAGGTGAGGCTGGCAGGCAGAGAGAATAAATAGAAGGAGAAATCTGGGAAGAGATGATGGAGTAGTGAGAAAAGAAGAATTAGAGGAGGATATCAGGGGCCAGCCACCCAGCTACACAGTAAGCCACGGAGTAAGAAGTAAAAAAGCACATATAGGATAGAGAAAGATAACAGCCCAGAGGCAAAAGGTAAACAGGGTAATTTACGATAAGAAAAACTGGCTAGAAATAAGCCAAGCTAAGGCCCAGCATTCATAAGAAAGAATAAGTCTTCATGTATTTATTTGGGAGCTGGGTGGTAGGCCCCAAAGAGTAAAAAGAGTTAAAATAACAACAACAGATGTATTCTTTGAAACAATTTCAAGAAAAACTTTTTTTTTTTTAAATAGTAAACAGCCACAGGCCTCCAGAGACACAGCTTTTTAAACATTCACATTTGCCTCTGCTTTTGACAGACAGTCCTCAGTGCAGAGTCAGCACTCCTGGAAGGAACATCCAGGCAGGTGTTGTTTAAAGCTATGCTACCTGCTATTAATATCAGGTGAGGCTGGTCCCTAAAGTTCTTAAATTGCAGAAACTCTCCTGATGGCAACTGGCAACACAGTTTCATTTTTAGAATAACCCATCAATTGTCAGAAACACCAGTGTCTCCTTCTACATGTATGCAACAAAGAGGGCACAACCAAGAAAGTGATAAGCCAGGACAATACAAAAATTGCCAAGACACAGACTAGCGACAGATTATCCAGCATGGGTGACAAAAAGTATACCAACTTTTCCATGGCAACTAAAATAAATGTTTTGTTATTTAGCCAAGAGAAAAATTAATTAATTAAAAAAGTTTAATGCAGCTAGATAGTCCCGCCTGGGATACATAGTAAATTCCAAATTAATTTGAGCTAAAGAATGATACATTGTCTCAAAACACCACCCTCTTGTCTCTATTTACAGATATTGTTTAAAAAGTTAAATGTAAGCTATAACTTTGTTATAATAAATATGAAGAGACCAGTATAATTTTTGTTCTCTCCCTCTCCCTCTCCCTCTCCCTCCCTCCCTCCCTCCCTCCCTCCCTCTCCAGACGTGTTCTTTTTACAAAAAAAATTTTTTTTCCTGTACTTGCAATCATTTGACATGTCCCTTCCTAAATATGCTGTCTCTGTGGGGCATATATGATTTCATAAGTTTTCAGTCTGGACAACTCATACCAATTTCAATTAACATCTCTGGGAAACAAAAATCACCAAGCTGTCAATGGTACATTTAGAAATATAAACCCATTCAAAACACACAGGTCCTTTCACTCACAGACAAGAGGTGTCTTCTGGGAAGAAAAAAAAAAAGACTGCAAAAATAAACACCTATGAAAGTTGATGAAACACTGAACCAGGACAAGTCTGGAGAATAGAAAATAAACATGGAAACTCTTTAACATGGGCAGAGATCTCTTTCTGTGTTGTGAGTTTACATACTATCTGACCAGAATGTCATAGTGACTGAGTTACCTTCAACTTTGGTATAGGGTCTCCACCGATACAACCATCCCCGGAAGGGCTTGTTGTTATACTCTGCACACTGCTGGGCGCGGAAGTCCAAGCTGTTTTCACTACAAGGGTTAATGTTGCACAGTTTGTAGATACGGCTAGATCCTGGACAGAACTTGCCACCATACTGAGGCCTAAAAACAGAATTCAGGAATTTTAGAACCAAACACTCTCAGCCACATATAATAATGCAATTGAGGGAAGCATCATTGTACTATGGGCAGTCGTATCTAGTTTATTACATAATTGGAAATAGATGCCCTGCAATTTACCTAGGCCCTTCTAGTTTCCATACAGACATAATTAATCAATCACAGAGCTCTTTTTGTTTTCACAGAAACTTAATATGGCCTCAAAATTGTAATATCATATTTATCACACTTTCAGGCAGCTGTTGCTATGCCTAATTGTAAGTGACACCTAAAATCAAACTCATTTCCTGTCTCTGATCTAATTTTTATATTCTGGAACTTTCCTTAACAACCAATGACGAAAATATTCTCGATACTTCATGTGTCAGGGATTCTGTGAACACAGTAAGAGGTTCTCTGCCACAGGTGTGTGCCACCTACACACACCTTTCCGCACTGGTCTCAAAAGCTGTAAATGCAGATCTACCCCATGTCTCCAGGCTCCCTCCCCCATCGCATTATAGTCTAAACTTCTTCCCGCACTTCCGGTGCACCTGCTACCATGAAGACCGTGGCATGTGGAAAAAAGAATGGAAGACCCACGTTCTCCAGGCCGGCTCTGTCAGCCCTGGAGCTAGCACTCTGGCTATTTTCCTATCCCGGGGTGGTTTATCCCAATCGACTCTGCACTCTGAGGGGAGACACTGCCTCTTTTTCACCAGCATGACCACCTTTTAACTTCGGCCACTTCCTGCTTTCCTGCCAAGCACAAAGAGAAGTAGAGAATGATTCGCAGAGCTGAGAATCTCATGAGAATATAAATAATTATAATCTCAACAGCAAGCTCTTAAGACTTAGTGGGCAAATTCAGATTTGCAAAAGCCAGGAGGGAAAGTGAAGAAAAAGGGCAATTGTATTGAAAATTAGTGTCGGTCACCCATCCGACCCTGCACCAAACACTAACCACTCACCCAGCCTACCCTGCTCCGAACACTAACCACTCAATAAGCCTCCTCAGCACAAAACCCTTCCTTATGCTCTCCCTACCCACAGCTTTCTCCAGAGCTAAAACTCAGCCGAGGATTGCTTCATATAAAAATCTGATACCAACAGGAAACCTGAAAGGGGACTCAAGGCTAATAAGTGGATGTGATTAAAATTCCTTGTTTCCATGGGAAGTTCAGGCTTGTCACAGAATACTGCTGGATCCACCACAGTGTCTTCTAGCAAGCCTTCCTGAGATCCCACGGAGGAACTTCACAGACACAGAAAGAGTTGCATGGTCAGAATGAGATTTTCCTGCCTTTTCAAAACATTCTGGAGCAAATGGCTATGAGTAGCACCCAATCAGATCCCCTAAGACTTCTCAAATGGTCATTTATAAGGCATTCAGCAAACCCTAAATTGTGTTATCACAGCCTCAATACTCTTTACAAAGCATATTAAGGCACATTCTCAGCTACAGGCTTTCTCTCTGAGATTTTAAACATAGGCTGCATGTGGACTCCCCGTTACTAGTCAGCTTAGTGACCATCACAGTGTGTGACTTTTTCAACCTAGACCGCTGCAGCCTGGAAAAGGTCTCCAAACTCACAGGGCTTTCCACTCTTCGGATGGAGGAAGTGAAGAAAGGGCAGGTGGGGCACAGACAGCACGTTAGTGAAGGTCACACAGCTCATGGGGACAGTGGAGCTGAACCTCAGATCTTTGGACTCTGTCCCAGACTTTCTTCCTTGTCACCTAGGACTGCATTTATCTGAGCAAGATAGGCATGGTTGAAGCAAGTGGGAACTGAGAGAAAGATCCAGTAAGCAGAGTGCCTAGGCAGCTTGTCTTCAACAGCGAGGTAGATGTGCATTTAAGTTCATGCCCTGCTTTACTGTCCTTGACTTTATAGATTAGAATTAGACTATAAATATTTTAAATAGTTCATGCTCTCAAATTACAAGCCACACTATGCTCTCTATGTTCAGAATGCTCAGATTTCATGTTTCATTATGGGATAAAGTCAGAGTGGTTGAAGCAATGACTGCCAATAATTCCAAATGTTCCAATTCAAGGACATTTTCCTGCAGCCTTTTATTCTGTCTGGGACGGTCTCAAAAGGTAGTCCAAGCTGAGTTTGAACTCAGAATCTTCCTGCCTGTGCCCTCTGAATGATGGATTGCAGGGCTGCACGGCCACCCCTGGATTTTTATGGTTTTAAGCAGGAAAGGTTGGATAAGTGAATAGAAAACTTTCCCATAACACCCTGCAGAGTGACAAGAGCTCTGGGATTAGAAACAAAAATAGAGGCAGAAAGCAAAGTCTCAGCACACAATGTTGCATTATAAAGTAGAACTGTATTTGTTTTTGCATCGGTCAACCTGATCACAGGCGCTTGCAGTATCAGTTGGTTATATAACTTAGAATCACTGCGGGAATGCTGTATTATAATGTACATATGGACACACGTGTATATAGCAAGATTTCCTCTACATTCTCACTTACATGCTCATCTATTCTCTTTGTCTGTTTGTCTCCTCCCCTCCCTCCCTCAGACAGGGTCTCGTGTATCTCATTCTGACCTCAAACTTGCTGCACAGTCAAGGATGAACTTGATTTGCAGGTCTTCTGGAATCTACCTCCTGAATGATAGGATTTCAGGTAGTCCAAGCCTGGATGACACAGTGTTGGGAACTGACCACGGACATTCTCACACATACAAGCAAGCACTCTTCCAACTGAGCTACACCCACAGACTCTTTCAATAAGAACACACAGTGTGGTTGTTATGTGTCTTCCAAAGAAATTGGTGCACCTTTTAGAGGACCCTGCTGATTTTGATAATTGAGCCTGGGAATTATTGGTTAGAAAAATGGGCCCCAGAGTCAGTTAAATGATTGTTGTGAGGCTCCAGCGTCCTCCCAAACTCCACTGGCTAGGTGGCACTAGAGTGAATAGTCTATAATTCTTTGCTGACTAGACTTGTGTTTTAGGGATGTTCTAGAGTATCTCAGGATGCCACTGTTAATGTTTGGAATACAGCTGGGTTACAGTGTGATAATTTGATAGGTAGGGAACCAGGAGAAAGGTCAAAGAGTTAAGACTATGCACCTGGCTTTGAATCTGCCATTGTCAGTGTGGTACCCAAGCAGGTGCTGATGCTGTGAGTGGAATCTCTTCTCCCTTGGTTGCCCATCTGTGAAATAATGGGATAACATGGCGTTGGAACTGATGGGGTGGTTTTAATGTGTCTGGGAGAAAGTTCCTGGAGACGTGTTTGGAAAGGCTTTTAAAGTGTCGTGGAACTCCACAGAAAACAGGATGTGGAAGCAATAAACACACCTGCTACAGACAGGGGAGACAGTCATACACACGTGATGTTGGCTGTCCTGGAATCAGATGACCTTTAACCCCTTGTAAGGCTAAACACATTGGTAAGTCTACACATCAGCCTTGCACACTTGATTCTTTTATGAAACAAAACACATCCTTGGAAGAACCTCAGTAGATGAAATAGGAACCTTACACTGCTTCTCCAGTGAGAAAATAAAAACGGCTAAGCCGAGAGCTACCAACGGAACCAAATGGCAGAACTTAGCTGGAAGAAAAAAAAGCAAAAACAAAAAACCAGTAACTTGAAATTGAAAGGGTGAGAATAAAAGCAGTTTTGCTACAACGAATAGAATTAAGAGCTGGTTAGAACAATTAATTCAACCGTGTGGGGATTAACTGACCATCTACTTGTTTTATTTGTGGCTTCACCCTGAGGCAAAGGAGACATTATTCCAGTTATCTTTGAGCTTGTTTAATACAACACAACTCCCCCGAGTGGAAACAGTTAAGTGATTAATTCTTCATTAGGAATCTTGAAAAGGGAGACACGCTATTTCCGCAAGCAGTTATCTATCACCAGGTGAGTTCTCAATCCCATAGACACGAGAGAGGTTCTCACTTAAATCCCACGGGTCTCTTTCCTGCACTCCACTGGCAGAGCTATTAAGTTAGGTAATGTTTTCTTTCTCGGGAAAATATTGAGATTACAAAAATATTAGAAAATGTGGTCATGCATGAAAACCAGACCCAGGAAACATGCTGCAGAACCTAAAGTAGCACTGATTTTGAAAAGCACTGTCCAGGACGTTGACTATAGTGAAGTATATGTAGTTTTCATAATCTGCTATAAATCAGGAATGGATCCCAAGCCTTCCTCCTATTATATTCAGGTACTGAGTCTAAGGAGTCCTAGGAAAACGTATGTTTTGCTCCACTTAGGATATGTGGCAATGCCTGAAGAAATTGCTGTTTGCTGTAATGTGCGGGTAAAGAAATAGAAAGTAATCCCATTAGCACCAAGTGGGAAGATGTCATACATGCTGATCCTGCATTGTCAAAAAGAAGCCCTGGGCCTGGGGAGATGCTGGGCACTTAAGAACACTCTGCTCGGGCTGGAGCGATGGCTCAGACGTTAAGAGCACTGGCGGCTCTTCCAGAGGACCCGGGTTCAATTCCCAGCACCCACATGGCAGCTCACATCTGTTTGTAACTACAGTTCCAGGGGATATGGCACCCTCACACAGATGTACATGCAGGCAAAAAACAAAGCAAAACAAAACAAAAAACACCAATGCATGTAAAATAAAAATAAATCTTTAAAAAAAATACTCTGCTCTTGCTGATGACCAGAGGAGTTCCACACCCAACACTCATATATGGCAGCTCACAGCCTCCTGTAACTCTAGCTCCTGGAATCAAATGCCTTCTGGCCTCTGCACAAACATGCATGAGCATGCGTGCATGCACACACACACACACACACACACACACACACACACACACACACTCTCTCTCTCTCTCTCTCTCTCTCTCTCTCTCTCTCTCTCTGTCTCACACACAAACACACGAGACATAAAATAGCAAAATAAAATTTAAGAGATAAACTCACAAGAACTTTGCAGCCTTTTACATCAATAATTCTGGATCTGAAAAGCTCTGGGTTATTGGGACTACTGCCATTACTGTAGGTTGTAATCCCAGCTCTTTATGAGGCTGAGGGAATAGGACTGCAAATTCAAGGCCAGCCTGGGGTAGATAACGAGCTCATGGTCAGCAAGGACTTTGTCTCTAAATAAAAAGGTAAAAGGGGTCTGCAAAGGGAGCTAGCTCAGGGCTAGGGTACTTCATTACTGTGTGCAAAGCCCCAGAGTCAATCTTCAGGAAGGGTGAAGAGAAGGCTGGCTCCAGAGCAGCGTAAGATATCCTAAGAAGCGCCTGGCTCACGCCATCTAATTATCTCCAACCTGCTCTTTGTATTTTGGAAAAAAGAAACTGAAAAGCTTTTTATAGCACTCAGATTGCTGACTCAGATGAAGTACCATTTGTCTCTTCTGAAAGTTTCCTTTTTACTCTGATTTCATTACGTTTGGATTCTCAGCTCACCAAGTGTTCCTGCAGTACTTATGGTATGCTGGGCCCTCTTGCAGAGCATTTTACAGCTTTCAGCTTGGCTGGTGTTTGTGCCATCCTGACCCCGTGTTTATAAACGAGGACTCCGGGGGAAAGGGAGAACTGAGTGCTTGTGGTTTCACAGCTGGCACTGCAGGGTTAGGGCAGGGTCAGGGTGTTGGGCTCCACAGCTTGTGTGCTTGGCCTCCATGGGCTGCCATCCCCCAGATGGGTGGTAAAGTTAACCCTGGTTTTCAGGGTCTCACCACACTGTTCTCAGCCTGTCATACTCTCTATATAGGTCACTGGTAGTGTTATGACACAGCAGCTACCACTTCCTCCATAGGTCTCTAGGGTGACACTGGGTGACCCCGTTCTCCTGGAGAGGTTGAAATGAGGACTATGAGAGCACATGACTCTCAGAACACTTTGCTGAGTGTCTATTGGATGTTCCTTGTCTTTCAGATCAGTTGGTGTCCATCTGTCTTTCCGTCTCTGTCTCTGTCTCTGTCTCTGTCTCTGTCTGTCTTTCTCTCTCTCTCTCAGCATAAAATCTCACCATGCAACCCTGATTAGCCTTAATCTTTCTGGCTTAGTCCAATTGCTGAGATTATAGGTATATGCCTCCTCTCCAGGCATTGAGGAATTTTACAGATACTATTCCTAACTCCTCCAAGTCTTGTAAGATGGATCAAACATCCCATTTTGTATAGAAACATGCGTTTAGAGTTCAAGTGACTTTCCCAAAGTCACACGTTAAGAAAGGGCAGGTGAGTTCTCTGGGGTTTTTGTACCTCCAATACCTCGGACCTTTCTACCAGGACAAATAGGAAGCATTCACCTCACATGTGAATCAGAGTCTTTTGAAGTTACTTAAATGCCCTTGTAATTTTCTAGACTCAGGCTCCATAATGATGGGACTACAGCGTCCCTAAAGGTGACCATAGGTCAATTTCAACATGTGACTGTAATGATTTTAGTTCTCATAGTGGCTTTTTGTTTTATTTTTAAAGAAAATTAAAGTTCATCGTCAATATTTAGCAATGTCACATGTGTTTTTATATCTGGTATCTTTTGAGAAGCCGGACAGGTCTACCAACAGGGATTGAAGACTATTCCTGCAAGGTACAAATCATTACACGCCTCAGTTCATCTGCGGGGGACACTCTTCCCACTCCACAAGCCTCCCGGCTGAACAACAGCTCAGGTGTAGGACTGCAGAGCCTTGCTCAGGTTAAGAAATAAGTTAGGAGGTGACTGGAGTCTTTAAGCATCATATTTACAAACAGAGGAGCTCTTCTGTTGTGTTCTGAAGTCCACCCACCAGGCTTCTTCCTGTTCCATTTCCCAATACACACAGCCTTCATGTGTAAACAGGAAAACCTTGGCTGGCTGCTTTTAACCCAAAGGAAGAAAATCCCACTCAAAAGTCAAGTCTTCCTGGAGCCTTACTTGGGGTTACTACAGTGCCTCTCCTGGTACTTGACTCCTCCACCACAAGTGCGCGAACATTCTGACCACTTCGACCAGGCAGACCACTGGCCATGGATGGGCCGGGGGCCGAGCTCTCCAAGCTTTACACACTGGCCCTGTCGACACCACTGCAGAAAGAACATGCAACAGGGTTCCCATCAGAGGCCACCTGGGAAAGTGCAGGGCGAGGCAAATGTCTGCACAATAAAAAAGGAAAAGGGGGTCTGGGAAGGCAAGAGGGACAATGTGTGACACCGGCACAACCCTCGTTTGCTGTGTTTTATGAATGCTCAGTGGCTGCATGGCTGCTGCCTGCGTTTCCAAGTCTGCCTGTAGAGAGAAGTGGTGTTTCCCACCCTCGTGCTGAGTACACGCTGTGTGAACTGTCTGTGTAGGGGAAACACACAGATAAGATTCTATGCAATGGCCCAAGTGGTCAGACAGAATTACAGGGATGCCTCCTTGTTGCTTGGAGACAATACTACTTATGGGACAATTCTGATGCATTCAAGAGTTGATCATTGCGATTATTTCCCCATCACCGCCGACGTGAGACACAGCTAACCGTGAGGGTGATTTGCCTCATTTAACCACCCCATACTAATCTCATACGAAATTATTAACTTTCTGTCTGAAGGAATTGCATTTGTAGAAGGTGCCCATTGCAGACCCGCTGATGGCTGGCGATCTTCAGCGCCTTAGGTGGGTTTGTTCTGAGTCTTTCATTTGGCTGTGATTCACACAAGGTGGCTAAGGATTGTTTTCTCTGTTAGCCTCCCATGTTAGTTCTTCTCTTGCAGTAAAGTCACATTTTTCTAGTCCCCTTCCCATTTCTTCTCCTTCTCTAGGGATTGAATTCTCTGGTAGTATTGCTTTTTTTTCTTGCTGTGTTTTCACTTTGAGCAAGTCCTGCAAGACTTAGTAGAAGCACACACTTTCCTGAAAACCTCTGCACTTTGATCCAAAGGGTTGGGCTTTAGGGGATGTCAGGTTTTACTGAGAAGTGGGGTTCAGTTACAGAATCACAGGGAGACTGTTTGACTTACAGTTATCTACCATTGCTATGTACCCCCATGATGCATTTGGCTGTGTGGCTGTTCATGGTGTGGCTTTGTTGACAGTGAGTTTTGTCTTGGTTATGTTTCTTCCTTTCTTCAAATTCTTGCTACGAGCAGGTCAGTCCCTCTGTTTTAAGCTTTTCCTTTGCTTGGGTTAATTGCCATTTCAGAGTTTGAAATTACATAATGTTGTGGGGAACCAATCAGTCATCTGAGGGTTTTGGCTGCTGCCACCACACATCTTTCCCACTAGGAGTCATGGAGCCTCTACTGGGCTGACACTGGACAAAAAGCAATAGCCTATGGTCTCGCTAGCATCAGCAGCCAACAGAAAACCAAGTTGCTCTGATGTCTGAGAACAGTGGGAAGACCTGTGTGTACCCTTTCAAGCCTTCAGGAATTGAAGACCTCTTTGCATATGAGAACTTAGTAGGGAAATTTTGACCTCCTCAGTCTCATAGGGACACAAATACAACATACATAGAAGAGTCTAGATTTCACACCTACACAGGGCTCATTCTGCTTCTTATAAACAAATTACTGCCCGAGGTGCCTTAATTTTAATCTAATTTCTTTGTTTGAAAAGTGTTTCTTTACATCTGTTTCAATCATTGAATGAACAACTAGGCTGCCGTGATCTCAATATTCATCCTGGTCCTAGGTCAAGCTGCTAACAGACTGCCTTCCTCTGGCTTTGCAATCTGTGTAACAAATGGGACTTTACAGAAATCTACATATAGATGCAAGTAACAATACATACATAAAATTCTCCACATAAGATGTAAATATTAAAGATACACATATAATCTTATCTATCATATATATCCCTAGTATTTCTCAAATATTCGATATGGCCAATTGCCATGACTTGCACTGTACATTTTAAAATGTATTATTGACATTATTAGGCAGGATCTCACTACCTGGCAGAGGATGTCATGGAACTTGCTACATAAGGTAGGCTGACCTCAAACTCATGGCAATCCTCCTGTCTCAGCCTTTTGAATGCTAGAATTACAGAATGAGCCCCAGTGTCCTGCCTCAAAACTCTTTAATTCAGGGTATGACAGCATAGACATTCCTCTTTCTTGCACACACATCTTGAGATGGAAGGACTTGGCTTTCACTCATTTTACTTTCATGTGTCTGCATTCTACCTCTATTTCTGGACTCGCTCGAGTCTCTTCGATGCAAGATCCGGTGTCCACTCGGTATACACTCTTAACACCATTCACTGGACGTGCATACTGAATCCCAAGCAACGTTCTTTTTTCTTTCGTGTGACAGAGATGTTGGAAGAACAGGGAAAGTTGCCAGCTTCTGCTGTGGGTTCTTGGAAGAACAGGACTGACTTTTCAGTTTGTCTCATCCTGTGTCTTCAGAGACTCATCCTGATACTGGTACTCAACAGTCACTAAGGAACTGAAATCACTTTAAATGACCAATTCTTCTACCCAGGTTAAGAGAGTTTGGAGAAAGCAAATGACAGAGATTGGCAAACCTGTACCATCTCATTATGTGTTAAAATTCTAGTGTGGTCTGTCAAATGGACTTGCTAAATATGCTTCATTTATTGTTATGCCAAGGGTACCTTTCCTGCCAGACCCTACTAGGAAAAGGAAAGACAATAGAAACGAATATGAAAATTTTTGTTGACAGACATTTCTGTTACTAATGGGAACACCTGCCCCCCGGGGCTCTTTCATAGGACATGAAGTTTAACCCACAAATGGCATGCAATGAAGCCTATTAGTTCAGTGACATAGAGATACTTAAGGATCAAGGCCCCATCTATAAAAGAGAAACACAAATAAAATATCTATATAAACAAATGAATGAACTGGTTTACATATTGTAATTCTGTTTTATAATCTTTGCTTGCTAATACTGGTTACTTTTAAGAGAAGACAGAAAAAAAATGTAGCCAAGAAAATGTGCCATTTCTAGAGTCACAGTTCTATGACCTTCACACCATTCTAGAGCTACAGACTAGCAAGTGCACAGTTACCATACTCAAGCCACAAACGGTCCCTTCTGCTGCAGGCATGAACTTGGTTTCACATCTGTGGCCCACGCGGTGGCACCAGAGTGATTTGCAAATATCCTGAAAGGAAGGGGAAGAAAAGGTGGGGGGTAAGACTGATAATACACAAAAAAATGCAAACAGTCAAAGCTTTGGGGTGCTGTATTTTATTTGGGGATGTATGCAATCAGACCAACTCCTCGAAGTACAGGCAAGTCAAGTTGGTAGCAGTAGAGCAAGCTGCTGTAGTAAGGAGATAAACAGGAAGTCTGTGCCGCCTGCGTGTTCATGTGTATTTAGTGATGGGGTAGCACTAGTTAATGTCCAGAGCACCGACAGTTTGGACCTAAGTGGTAGATGTGTGTGTGTGTGTGTGTGTGTGTGTGTGTGTGTGTGTGTGTGTGTGTGCGCGCGCGCATGCGCGCGCATGTGGAAGTCAAAGAACAACTTGTGAGAGTCAGTTCTCTCCTTCCACTGCATGAGTCCTGGCAATCAATCAACGCAGGTCATCAGACTTAGAAGCAAGCACCTTTACCCTGGCCGTCTCATTGGGCCCAAGAGATCTGTTTTCTGACAACAGTGACAATAGCCTGGGTGGCAGAACAGATCAAGAGGAATAAAGCAACTCGGACTCAGTCCGTGTCCCCAGCATGTTTTAGAACCCCCAGAAGCTACAGGTTCCTTCCCCCCTACCCCTCTGGTTGCCACTCTGAAAGTTATCAAACTATCGCCTGACCTCCCTGCCTCCGAGAGGTGTTGTCAAGGATAAATGACAGGGACCATCTAGCGTGTCTCACAGAGTTCCTAATGTCTTCGTTATGATTGTCACCATCGTCACCACTTTCTTAGCCTCGTGCTTTCCCAGTGCTATGGCAACTTACTTCTGACACCAGACCTATGAGGTAATTTTAAAGGATTGGGAGATAGCCTCTCAACACACAGAACCAGGGCTGTCATCTATACGGGCTTCCAGATCAAGGCACTCTAGAGTTGAAGGCAGTTATTGAGCAAGAGATGTGAGGAGAGTAGGTCAGACTGGAGGAGCAAGAGGTCTCCATAGCAACAGTTCAAGTCAATCCTATGGAAGGGCCCGAGGCCTCTTCCATCCATTCAGAACAAAGGTCATTTTGCTAGTGAGCTTCTGCAGTCCTAGTGTCAGTTCAAGCCATAACTCGCAAGACCAAATACCTTTCTTTCCTACAGCCAATGGAGAGCCACGACCCATGCCTACAGCAGCCATCAAAATGATCCCAGCACAGAGCGAGAAAAGGGGGAGACCTTAAAAAAATAGAAAAAGGAGTTGGGGGATGGTGGTCTAGACACCACAGCCAAAGCCAAGCCACAGGGCTGAGACAAGGCGCAGCTAGAGAAGAGCAGGCAAAACCCAAGGATTCCAGAGAGAAGCGAGACAGGCTGTACGGACATGTTATTTCCCCTGTGGTGAAGTGCAGAAGTCAAATGTAATTATAGCCGACGACATGCTTTAACGACCACAAAAACCCTCTGAGAAAACTCCCTTTCAAAGTAAACAAAAAGGGGAGCTTGCACTCTTTTGCTGGTACCTCCCCCTTTCTCCCCCTTCAGCATATCCCACTTTGTCTTATCTATAATTACCTGGACTTAAGTCATAATTTAAGAGAAAGAGAAATAACCACAGAGACCCCTAAGGTCTCATGTTGCCTGGATATGATCCCCCCACCTCAACAAGACCACATATTTAAGCAATGCTGGCTGTACTGGGTCCTGTCATTTGCTGACCCGTGTTCTCTGGTTATATTCCACAAGACATGTTCCTTCTAGTAAAATATGACATGTTGAAAACGTTAAAAGCATTTGAAAACTCAAGTTCTAGAGAGTATATACATACTCAGGCTCTCATCGGGACTTCTAAAGCTATACCATCATGCTGACTTTACCTTCAAAATATCTCCTGAATCTAAACGCCTCCCACACCCATTGCTACCACCCTGTTCCCAGCCGCTTTGCATGTGCCTCAATGTCATACCCTTTATCACAAGCCTAGCCATTCTGTTTTGATCCATCCCTACCCAGCGAATTCTCAACAGGGCATTACCTGATACAATGGCCTGTAGCTGTATATGACTTTTTCCCTGGTCACATCTCATGCCTTCAAGTCAGATATGGTATGTGGCAATCATATTGAAAAGCAGAGGACAGTCCCATCATTATAGAAAGTTATGCTGACCAGTATTATGAGCTAGAGGGATTCTTCCATGTCAGTCAGTTCAGTTCATGTTACTTCTCTACTCAAACCATGTGATGCTGTCTCACCTGGCTCAGGGTAAATCCAGAGTCCTTCTTGGCCCCTTCCAAGTCAGTCACAGAATCCTTTTTATCCTTCTGATCTCATCTCTTACAGGTTAACTCTTGCTATTGTGGTTTTATTTCCTTGACTGTGATAAAACTCCTAACTTAGAGGAGGAAAGCTTAACTGCAAATAACAATTCCAGGTTACAGTTCACCCTAGCATATCAGGACCTTGAAGTAGCTAGTCATATCACGTCCATGGTCAGATCATGGAAAGTATCTATGAATGGATAATTGTTTGCTTGCCCTCAACCTGGCTTTCTCTTCTCTTATACTGATTGGGACCCCAACTAGGGAATGATGCTCCCCACAGTGGACTGTGTTTTCCTATATCAATTAACAATCAAGATAATACTCCATAGACATTCCCACAAGCCAGTCAGATCTAGATAATTCCTTATTAAGACTCCCTTCCCCAGATGATTCTAGGTTGTATCAAGTTGAGAGTTAAAACTAACCACATACCTGATTACAGCTGCTCTATCCACACTGGTGCAGCACTCTGAAAGTACCTCCAGCTTGCTCTAAACACCAACCTTTGCACATCTTGTTCTATCTATATCTCCAGCTACCTGAATACCTAACAGTGGCTCATTTTTTTAAATTGCCTTCAAGTCTGCCTAAAGTTCCCTTTGAGAACTCGTGTGTGTGTTTGTGTGTGTGTGTGTGTGTGTGTGTGTGTGTGTGTGTGTGTGTGTATGTGTGTGTGTATGCATGTATGTGAGTTTGTGTTGGTATGTGTATGTCAGGGCTTCACACATGCTAGACAAATACTCTACCACTCAACATGCCAGCATTACTAGTTAAAATTTAATCAGCTACCGCAAATCAACCTTCAACCTATTTATCTCAAAGTCATTTCACCAATAATCTGTTTGTTTAAAATATTCTCCATGTATCATCCTCCTTCCTAACATAGTGTCACTGCTACAAGGGCAGGGTACCAGGCACACTTTAATAAATATTTTTTATAAGTCAATATATGAATTAAAATGTTTGACTTTATAATTAGATTACATCCTCACTAGTAGTAAGTAATCTGCAATTCTTAAGAGGAGTCTTCAACTAAAAATGTGCCACACACTAATCCTAGCACTCAGGAGGCAGAGGCAGGTAGAACTCTGTGAGTTTGAGGTCAGTCTGGTCTACCTAGTTTTACGACCCCCTAGTCCATATAGTGAGACTCTATCTTAAAAAATACATGAGACTCTGACAAAATAGTCTTAAAAATATAGTGAAAAGGGGCACTGCTGGGATACACTTCCAAGGAAGAGCTCTTACCAAGCATGAAGAGATTCTAGATTCAATCCAGTATTGAAAAGAAAAGAAAAGGAAAGGAAAGAAAAGAAAAGAAAGAAACAACAAAAGTCCTACTCCCACCGCTAAGAGTTTTTCCTCATTACTATTATTTGATTGACTCCACAATTGTTCTCTTCAATGTGCAATGAGAAAAATGAGACTCAGAGAATGTCAGATGAATACTCAAGTGCTCTCAGCAGTAAATCTCTCCTAGGCTAGAGCTGAAACACCTTGTGTTTAATCTCACTGCCCAAGCTTTTAAGTGGAAGCAGTAATTAAAAAGCAACAACCACCAGACCATGCCATTGGCATCACTTTAAGAATCAGGTTTGCTGAGGTGTAATTTGCAATAATATGCACCTATTGTAAGCATATGGTTCTCAAAGCTCTGACAAAATATATACACCATTGTAGACACCACCACAATCAAAACAGGACATTAGTGTCATCCTCTGAAATACCCATCTTGGAGGCAATCATTCTGATATCTGCCACCTTTCATGCTTTTCCTTACATTTTGGACAGTAGGGTTGTATCAAATGGACTCACGGCATTTTTCAACATGTAGTTTTTAGTTCTCCATGTTTTCACGTATAGTTATTTTTTAATGAAATAAATACATTGGTTTTTTTCTTTGTCTCATCATTGTCTAAAGATCATTCTGAAGGTTGCCTCTAATCTTTGACTCTTGTCAACCAAGCTTTAGCTAAGAACACTACCGAATAAGTCATTTTTGTCCTAACTATCTCTATGATTTCTGTCAGACAGAACACTTGGAGAGGATTTATTGGATTCAAGGGTAAAAAATATGTGTATAAAGATATACAGTTATTTCTACATAAATCAATGGTTATCTTTTCTCCGTGTTCAAAGAGTTCATTCAAAAATATACAATCAAGAATTCAATCCTTGTTGACTCAGAAGCCTGGGCCTTACTGTTTTCTTTTCTATTAGTGCTCTTTGTGTGATTTTAGATTATTTAACTCCTATTTCCTTACTGTTGAGTTCACAGGAAACAATCAATAAGGCCATGTATTCTCCACCAGTTGCTTAATGGGACACTGGAGTCAGACAAAGAGAGACCCAGAAAAAAACAAGATTACATATGAAGAAGAATTGGGGTATGGCTGAATCTGTGGCCCAAGTGTTCTGCTAACACAGTCTCTACAGTGTTAAGCTAACTGCACCTCCCCTTTGCAGATAGAGGGGAAAGCCACAGTCTCTATTGGAGGCAAGGTATCTTTAGAAGATTGTTAGAGAAATGTGGGTCCTTTAGTCAAACAGCACAAAGACAGGCCACGCTGGGAATGTAACGCGGTGTGCATGCCCAGGTGGCATCTCTTTTTGCTTGCACATGTGTGTCTGATATGCATGTGTGTATGCATGTTTAAATGTGGAGGGGCATGTGTGTGCATATGCATTTAGAGGCCAAAGGTCAACGTTGGGCATCTTCCTCAATCCACTTACTAGTTGGGACAAGGTCTACTGGTTCTACGGCTTACCCAAAGATCCCCCATCCTGGCTCCTGAGCTAGCGACCATGCTCAACAACCTGGATTTTAAGTGGGTGCTGAGGCTCCAACTCTGGTTCTCAAACTTTATCCACTGAGCCATCTCTCCAGCCTGAGGAGCTCTATCACATAAATCACCCATGATTCCCCAAGGGAAAGATGAGAGGGAGGAGGAGAGCAAAATCTACTTTATGAAAATGGGAATGCCTAAAACAGTGAACAGCAGCCATTGTTACAAGGCCAATAGTTAACTAAACAGGATCTACTGTTATGTCAGACAAATAGTTAAGCAGATTTTGCACAAACTGGAGCAAGAAATATACATAAATAGTTACAATGTGGAATCACAAGTTCTCTCTTTTTTTTTAAGGAGATGTTTCCTAAACATTTTTTTTCATTTTTCTTTATTAAGAAATTTTCTAATCACAAGTTCTTAATGATACATAAGATGGAACCCAGAGGAAGGACTGCTTAAATGTCCTTTGGGGGAAAGAGAGGTAACTCTCGGGCCACATCTTTAACAGTACAGAATGATTACATGCTTGTCATACAGAAGGCTATGAAGTATTCCAGAATGGGAAATCCATAGACAAGGGCTTGTACATGCAAGAAAGTAAATATTAAATATTTGAAGCTGTATAGGGCATGATATAACTGGGATGTAGACTTTTGGGGAAAGGTAATAGAAATTGAAAGATGATGTGATATATTACAGAGCATTTATGAGAAGCTTCTAGAAGCTTTCTATTTATTCTCTCTTCTTTAAGCCCAATGTCAAATTCTTAGAGGAAAATACACCCATATCCTAACGCCTTCTGGGAGAAATGCTCTCTAAATGATGGGCACTAAAACATTCACTAGTATTCAAATATCTTCCCCCAAATTTCTATTTGGCTTTAAATTCTCTCAATGGGCCAATTAATGTGGATGCCTGAGCCCTAGCTATGTGATGGTAATGGGGAATACTTGGCTGAAATCAACTCTGAGGTATCTATCCCCTTTGTCCTACTCATGTTCAGTACAGGAAAGGTACCAGCATACAAACATCAATTGGCTTTTGTGCCATGCTTCATATCTTCCAACAAACATCATCAAATTAAGTTGGTTAGGCAGGAACTATTTATTTTTAAGTGTATAGTCATTGAATGAATGTTTTTCTCATCAGTTGCTAGCCAGGTAACTCTCTTTTAGGTCTATCTAAATGACATGGAACCCTAAGTCAGATTACTAACACATTTTCACCAACACTGCTCTGCCCTGGGTGTGGTTTGAACCTCCAGCACCTATATGTTGGGAACTTAGTCTTCAGTGTGTCAATGTCGGCCAGTGGCATCGTTATCAAATGGGGTCTCGTAGGAAGATTCTAGGCGAGTGAAGAAGTGCCCTTGACAGGGGTTACTGTGCTGCTCTTTCCTTCTAATTGAAGCACTCCCTCCTGGAGGAAGGCTCTTGGGAGTCAGGAACTACAGGAAACTCATACTTTTCTGGGCGATCCATAGGCACTTTTCCAAGGTTATACAAGCAATAACCAATTGCTGAGGGAGATTGTCCAACTATCCAAGCTGCCTCCAAGGTGCTCAGAGAGCTCTAGGGATGGGATGCAGCTTTCTCAAGTGAACACTCATGCTAGGTGTACAGTTGTGTGATACCCCTGTTTCTGAATCATTCATGTGCCTGTAAGGAAACCTAAGAAACTCATTGGTTCACTAAGCTAGACTTGAGTGGTGTGGTCTCCTTGATCCGTTGTTAGTGTCCTATCTGAGGGAGGGGGCAGAGGAATGTGTTTATGTCTCCCCAGGAAATTTCATACAACAAGGATTAAGGTATTTCTCCTGCCAACTCTGGTTAGTTCTCATCTGAGTAGGGACAGGATAAAACCACCCTGGGTGGGTATGACTCCACTATCTATCTTTCTGGCTTAACACTTGCAGTGAGATTATTTTCATTCATAATGCTCTAGCCATAGATATCATCCACATTGTGACACAGTTAGGAAAACCCTCACTAGAGCTAGTCAACATCAGTGCAACACCCATGAACCACCCCCTACACTGTTGCCTAAAGCAAACTCTTTTTTTCTGTATGCAGCTTTGCTTCAGAACTTTTGTTACAGCCCTCAGACTGACCATACAAATAATATGGGAAGGAACAGAGAGAACAGTGTTATTTGCTATGCAAGTGAAATTTAAGGCTGGGAGAAGAAGGAGAGTGGGCACAAGTTAAAAAAAAAATCATCTCAGACACCTCTGCCTCTGTGAAGAAGTCCAGTTCTGGTGGCAGTGATGTTGAACATGTAAGGAAGAGGTCAAGAGGAACTCTCATATGCAGAAGGATGCTACTGGACCCAGAGAACAATCCTCACAAATTAGCTAGAGAAGAACTAGTACTTTCTCCTTATGGGTGTGGACATGTAGGTCAAGGGAGGCACAATCATGTGTTCAAGAGTCTAGGCAAAGTTGGAATAAGTCTCTAACCCCAGGTCTGCCTAATTCCCAAAGGCACAGAGTGTGCATGTGTGCATGCAAGTGTGTGTTGGTATATGAGTGTATGTTCTTCCAGAGGCCAGAAAGGCAGTCAGATTCTGTGGAGCTAGAGTTACAGGAAGTTATAAGGAGCCCAGTACAGGCTCAGGAATTAAACTTGGGTCCTCTGGAAAAGCAGGACACACTCTTAATCCCTGAGCCATCTTTCCAGCCCTGCATACATGCTTTTAACTACCACGTGTAAGCCTGCCTTTCTAGGAGGAATGACAGGAAGAAACGTTAATGAAAATTGAAGGGAAAAGGCAGAAAAAAGAAAATAATGACAGCACAATAAAGGCCTGAAAGATAAATAAAAAATTAAAAAATGGGATTCCATTGTTCAGAAAATATTTTTTATTTTGATATTGCCATGAATTAGGTTGTAAACAATATTAGAAAAATACCAAAAGCTGGTTCAAAGGAAAAACAAGCCCACACTCAGAAGCCATCAATCAATTTCACCTTCCCCATCCATTGGCATCTTAAACCATCTCTGTTAGCCCAGACTCCCTAGCTCCCCTCCCAGACACCCAGACATCTCTGAGCAGTTCATCATTTCAGTTCTTTTCATTTAGATTTTTCAATTCCCTTCACTATGCTTTCCAGGGTCAACTAGGGCCGAGATACCATCTTTTAAAAATATGATGTGGCACCAGAAAATGATTATGGCAGGGTACTGATGCCCTGCTCACTGCCTGACACAGACCAGGCATGATCCTGTGGAATGGGACTCATTCAGGAACTCCTTTGTATTTCTAAAGGAAACCATACTTATTACGAGCTCTGTACTTACAATGTGCACATATTCGATGACTGAGAAAGCTGGTGATCTCAGAATAAAGTGAGCAAAGGGCATGCTTAGGAGATTCTCCTCAGTGAATGGGTTTATTCCACCTAATGCTGTGGTTTAACAGGCAAATTTGCTCATTAAAAAAAAAACCCTATAATACATAATATAATGCCCATGTGTCATGAAGGATATGCCCAAAGGATGAAGCTATGGATTAGCTTTTTAGTAGTAATGCTTTTAAGTTACATTAACTTCCAGTTGAGTTGGTGACTGGATAGATATTATTTCTCCAGAGTGGACTTCTATTTTGTAGGTGAGCTGACTTACTGAAAAGCAGTATGTGCTTAAAACTACAGAGATACCACACAAGTCACAACAGTGGCTGCTGGACTGCTAGATTAGGAGAAACTGGTATCCAACAAAGGGGAGGCAGAGGCTTAACTTCCATGTGGGTGATTTGTTTTGTTTAGATTTCATCATTTAAGAGTTCTGTGGCTTTGGGCAAGCTGGATACCTTTGCTGGGATGTAGGTGAAGGGGGGCAATAACTTTTACTTCAAAGTGTTTTTGAAGATGGAGGTCAAATATAATAAATCTTTGAGTGGAATGTCTCATGTAGGACAGAGGGTCATGCAGAAGCTGCTGGGAATGATGGTGGGGGTAGGCAGGACGGCAGTGTTGCTGCCAACGTGCGTTGCTGCTGGTGGTGATGGAGAAGGAGCAATTGGGGGAGGAGGGGGAAGAGATGGAAGTAGTGAGGAAAAGTGTAGCTCCCAACTTTCCTATTTCCCATGAGTCCAAGTGCCCAAGACTTCAATGTTTTCCACTGGATGCTGGGAATAAACTAACTTTAAAAGTATGGGACATTTTATTTGTGTTGGGACTGCAATGTTGTCAGGAATGCATTTTTTTCAACAGAGCACAAGGCCTCTCATTTCTACACATTGAGATGTTGTATTTTCTCACTGATCTTTGCTATAATCTTGCTTCCAGGAGTCAATGCAAAAAGCATGCTAGGAATATTAAAGAGACTGTCAACTTTCTGGTATCAAGGAGTGTATCTGCTGTAATAGTTTTCTTACATGATGAAAGGCACATGGTGTTTATTAATGTAATGGTGATTTTAAGCACATCACTTTAAAAGCACATGAAGATAACAAATCCATGATTAGCCTGAATGATCATTCTCAGCTTTTCTTCAAGGAATAAAGCCCACATGTAAGAAGGGGGGAATTTTCTTCCAAGGACGCAGACAACTGGTATTTAAACCAGGCATGCATAGTCTATGGGGGATAAGCCTGGATAATTCATTGACAGGAAAATTACCACTTAATTATCATGCCAAACAAATGACATTTTAGAGATAACCCAGATGCTAACCTTTGGCCTCAGCAAACCAAATGTTTATTCTTTTGGTAGGTACACAGGCACATGGCACATCCTTAATGCAAGTTAGAAATCATGAGGAAACATACCTTCATAACCCCAAGGCTGCACAGCTTGGCTTTGGCTCCAAATTGCCACTTACACTGTGTGTCGGCATCATAAATCTGTCCTGGGAGTTTGTCCGGATATTTATACTGTCCTGTTTGCTTGGGCTCATCCACCAGACAGCCAGCCTGTGGTGTACTACATTGATAACACATCCTTATTAACAGCCCTGTTCATCTGTGACCTTTCCATTTAAAACTGTACCTCTGTGAGTGCAGTCATGCAAAGAAACATAGAATGTGCTTAGAGAAACAGGCATGTGTTTAGAGTTAAAAAGTACATTTTATTGCAAAGACTGAGCCCCATCTAAAAGGCTGGAATGCATACAGTCATAAAGGGTTTTATAGGGAGCTGGAAGTTCTGGCCATCTAACCAATGTGCATTAGGATTGGGTAGGAGACAGGAAGTGTAAATATAAGTAAAATCTCTCTTCTACAGTCTCATTCAACAACATTGGACATTTTTACTGAGAGCCTACTGTGGGGCAGGCATTAGCTTAAGACATTAAAGCACAAAATGGCTCATGTACAGAGGATATCTGTCCTCATGGGGTTTAAATGATACTGTGCTTCTTAAAGATAGGATCAAGAAGAAATACAGATGTACTTTGTCTCAAATAAACTTTATAAACAAAGTTATATCCAAAGAATCATGAGGTTCTAGGTGTACTGTTTCAGGCCTAGAACCCTAGCACTTAGGAAGTAGAAGCAAGAGCCTCAGGAGTTCACAGTCATCGTTTGCTACATGAGATGTTCAAGGCCAGCCTAGGCATACACAGGAGGCCTTGTTCAAAAATAAAACACCCCATAAAATGAATTTTAGAATCAGGGGCATAAGGTATAAAAGCTTCCCTGAGGGGTGCCTGAGTGAGATGTGTTGAGAACATGGTATGGGTATTTTTTTAAAAATCACCTTATCCCCATTTACTTATATAATTAAATTGTGCTGCCATTGAGAGGTTAACTAGTATGTGATATTAAACGCAACTTTGGAGTCAGACATGGAGGTACTATCAACCATGCATCCATAATGACTTTATATAACTCTCATAAACCTCTTTAATGATGATGACTCCCATAAGGATTGTTATTTGGCTCAAATAAGAAGATGTAATGTACTTCCCACAGCAGAGAAGGTAATGCCAATGGCTGCTATAGTTACCATTACCACCCAAAGCCCCGAACTTCATGATGGAAATTCAATCCACTTGGAGTTCTCAATTTATAGTATTTTATTACTTCCTTACAAGAAGTAGAAAAGGCAATGTCAATCCCCAAACAATGAATCTAAAATTAATATGAAAATATATGGGGGCATGGCTTATGATAAATTAACAAACATCTATCAGGTTTTTTATACTATGCTTTAGGCATCAGTCAACTATACATGCTCACATTTAATCTTCCTTGTTGGCGTATCTTGATAATCCTGTGAATATTTCCAACTAATATACTGTAGCATAGGTATGAACATACCCAGAACATCAATTTGTAATGAAACTTCACTAATATCTGGTCAAAGGGAGCAATCAGAACCCAGGTGTCCATGTGAGTAACATGGACTAAAATGACATAGATACATGCATGCCACTAAACATTGAGTTCTTTTTTAAAGACTTACTATTATTTTTCACTTAAGTGTGTGTGTCTCTGTGTGCAGGTACTTGCACAGGTCAGAAAAAGATGTAAGGTCCCTAGAGCTGGAGCAACAGGTATTTGTGAGCCATCCAGCATCGGTGCCGAGAACCAAACTCAGGTCCTCAGCAAGAGGACCTTAATTGCTGAGCCATGTCTCCAGCCCTGGGTTCATTTTTAAAATATAAATCAAATGCTGGGCTCTCCTAAGTCCTAAAAACTGGTGGATTAGATTAAAGTAATTAGTCATAGTAAAAAACCTATACATCCAGGAGTCTTAGAAGTTAAAAAAAAAAAAAAAGATAAGTTGTGAATTTTAGATCTCGGGGTCAGAATGGATCTAAGTGTGAATCTTATGCCTACAACTTTGCAGCTATCACACTTTAAACAACACAGCTACCCCTCAGAGACTCAATTTCAGTTCTAGACTGGAGATAGAAATAGGATTGCTGAGAGGACAGGATATACATATTTAATTTTTAATACATTTAAAATTTATTTGTATGTGCCTGTGTGTACGCATGTGCATGCGTGCTAGCACTCAGAGGTCACAATGTGAGTGTGCAGGTCAGAGGACAACTTGCAGAATCAGTGGTCTCTTGGGGGTCCCCAGGCTAGAGTTCAAGTAGGCATGCTTGATAGCAGGTGCTTTTATCTACTGGACTATCTTACAGCCCAGGAAGGCAACGTGGGGGGGATCTAACACAGTAATAGGTCTTCAGTAGATTTTCAACAACCATATCATTATCATTATCAATGTAATCATAACAGGAATTTTTAGTCTTTCTCTTCATTGAGATACCAAAAGACATGCCTGTCAATTATTTGATGTTTGGTTCATTTGATTTTGTGGTACTAGAGGTTAAACCTGGTGCTTCATGTATGCTAGGCAAGCGCTCTACTGATGAGTGATATCTGTAGGCTTCCTTTTTACTCTTATTTTTCAGGCTGGCCCTGAACTTACTCTGAAGTCAAGGTAGACCATTACCTTCCAATCATTCTATCTCAGCCTCCCAAATAGTCACAATGACTAATCCATCCCACCAGGTCTGTCTTGAACATTTGTTTTCACACCTACTGAACACTGCAATGGGAGCTAGGCACAACCCCTGGGATTTTGTCCATTTACCTGAGGAATTTCTTGAGATACTGTCGGCTGCAGGAAGACCATGAAAACACCCCATTGTTTCCAGTCAGTGTGGGTGACATGATGTTGCCTTCTGCCTTCCTACAGGGGTTGCCTTCACCATCATGAACCATGCCAAAGCTGAAACAGAAAGGAAAACCACCTTCTGAGAACCCACCTTCCAGGTTACCACCAGAAAAATGAGAAAAATGCACAGAGACTCAGCAGAGCCAGGTGGGAGACAAGAATCAGTGACAAGAATGAGTTACTATAAACTACTGCAAATTTTCTGCAGAAAAACTTGAAGAATGCTAAAGACATTGTTACTAGTCACAAAATCAAAGAATGGTGTATGTACGAAAAGGCTAGGAAATCTGGTCTTGGGTCCAAACTGGGCTGCTTGAGTTCAATCCCTAGAATGTACATGATGAAAGGAAAGAACTGACTGCTAGAAAACACACACACACACACACACACACACACACACACACACACACACACACACACGATAATACACAAACAAATAATAAATGTTTAAAAGATTTCTTAACTAACCTACATCTTAGATAGCCAACTTTTAAAAATTCAAAATAACTAATTTCTTTTCCTGTCACTAATCCTGGAGCTATGGCACAGTAGTTGAGAATGAGGAGGAGGTAGGTACAGACTGAAGGTAATTATAAGCCCTGCATTGATATTTATTTATGAAGCTAACATGATATAAATCTTCCTTCCAGTGATGACCAGACAATTAGCTAAACTCATTAATTCAGTTGATAATTGAATACCCTCATAAAAATAAAGATCTTCACAAGGGAATGATGAAAACTCTGTTCAGAACACATGGAAGGAAAACAGGACTTCACAATTTCTGGACACCATTCTTTCTACGACATCAGAGCAATTCCTCTGCAGAAGGAAGATAAGCAGTGAGGATCTCTTTTAAACACATTATGTGTTGGGCTGGAAAGATAGCTAAGTGTTTAGGAACGCTTGCTGCTCTTGCAGAGGACTCAAGTGTGTTCCTCAACACTCCTGTCATGAGGTGGCTCACAACTGCCTGTAACTTTCTTGCCCTCTTTCAAATTCCCTAAGGATCATGTACGGTACACTTCTGTGATCATCTTTGGAAAAGATTCGGGAAACAAAGCTCATTTTGTGACTTTTCTTACAAAAGAGGCAAGGCAGAAAGAGATGTTTATATGAATTTATCATAATTTTAAATAGTTCTCAATCTGATTATTTAAAGAAATGAAACCTGCCTCTTAAGAATACATTTGTATAAGCAGGTATGGTTTCTATGGGGGAAGTATCATGTTATATAGCTATCTTTTGAAGGCAGGCTCTAACAAATGAGGTTATTATATCCATAGATAGGGTGTTGCTGTGAGCTGTGCCTACAATCTAGCCATTTCTTTTCTATCATTCTTTCCAGCTTATCAAGCAAGTGGAGGGTGGCTGTATACCGGATGGCTACTAGTGAAGTTGTTGGAATTTACAGGTGACTGCTAACAAAAGCAAAATTAATAATCTTAAGACATTTGGCAAAAAACACTTCTGTATTCTCAGCTTTGCCAAATTCAGCTCTTTCTGCCTAAGCAGGGAGCTGAGGGGGTTTGTTTGGGAGACATTCTTTCTAAATACGCTAAAGCCCTGTGAATAAAAAGCAAGAGTTCCAGAAGAGTCAGTGAGGTACAGAGAGATAAAAGCTATTGTTCAAGGAGGGAGAGCTGCTTAATTAGAGCCTCCTTAGAAATTTTTTAGAACAAAAGAAAACTCAATTTTGAATTTCAAATTTTTACATTTTCAAAAGTACTTTTATTTAGCAGCCTTTTGGAAGATATTTTTTCCCCTGAACATTTCAAAAATCCTCCCCTAATCTCAGCAGCCATCTGCTTCAGGAGCTTCATGTCAAAAGGACCACATACCAAAGTCTCATCTTGAGAATGCATTTCACATCTCTTCATTGTGTGTGTTCATATGGGCACACACACGTTTGTATGCACATACATTGAAACCCAGAAGTTCATCTTTGTTATGGCTCCTCAGGTGATAGTTAACTTTGGTTTTTTGAGGTGGAGTCTCTCAGTGGCCTACAACTCAGGAACTGGCCTCGGCTGGGTAGTCACAGAGCCTCAGCAATGTTCTGCTTCCCTTGGCCCTGTTATTACCAGCATGCACTACCACACATGGGGGATTGAATTCAGATCTTTAAGCTTGCATAGCAAAAGCCTTACTAAGCTATCTCACCAATCCAATGTTCATTCTTCTCTCACCTGACCCCTCTCTCCCACCCTATCTAAAGACTATGGCTTGTTTTTCCTAAACCAAAATGTTGGATTTTGGCTTCAGATAACTTTTACTCATAAGAAAGAATGATTAAAGTTTTCATAGCCTGTAGTTTGAAAACTGAGTTCAGTATAGGCACGTGGATTTACATGTTACCACAATCAGTTTGTTTTGTATAAAGAATGAACTGTTCTGGATGGTGGGTAGCATAGGCCTGTAATCCCACTACTTGGGAGGCTAAGGCAGGAAGGTCACAAGTTCAAGGCCAGCCAGGGAAATGTACTGAGAGATTGTTGCCACATAATGAAAGTTAAAAATGAGGGGAAGGATATGATTCAGTGGCAGTGAATGTGCTCACTACACAAAGGGAAAAAGTAGAATGAGCTTAAAGTATCTTAACCAAAGCAAAACCCAAATGAAATGCAACACCCAGAAGTCAAGAGAACCAGGGAAATAATGGGTAGTCCATGTACAAACCTGAAACCTTAAAAGATGTAATATATAACATGAAAAGACAGACATCAATGACTGGTGCTTATTGAACTGGTGTGTGTGTGTGTGTGTGTGTGTGTGTGTGTGTGTGTGTGTGTGTGTGTGTGTGTGTGCACATATGAAGGAGGTCAGAAGACAACCTCCAGTATCATTGGTTTTAGGCACCATTCAATTTTTTTAAATTTGTTTTATTTTATTTTTTTCTTTGAGGCAATGTCTATCACTGTCCTAGAATTTGCTAAGGAGGCTAGGATGTCTAGTCAGTGATTGCCAAGGAGATGCTGGTTAGGGTTAAGGTTAGCATTAGCATTAGGGTTAGGAAACTGTCTCCATATTGCTGGGTGTGGTAGTTTGAACAAGAAAGGCCCCCATGGGCTCATATATTTGAATGCTTGGTGCCCAGTTTGTGGAACTATTTGGGAAGGATTAAGAGGTGTGGCCTTTTGGAGGAGGTTTGTCACTGGGCTTTGAGATTTCAAAAGGCCACAACCCAGTCTTGTTCTCTCTCTGACTTTAGCTTGCTTATCAGAATCTAAGCTCTCAGCTGCTGCTCCTGGGCCATGTCTGCCTGCTGCTGTGCTCCCTACCATAGTGATCATGGACTAAGCCTCTGAAACTGTAAGAAAGCCCCCAACTAAATGCTTTATAAGTTGCATTGGCCATAGCATGACTAAGACACTTGGATTACAAGTATGCACCATCATACTTGGCTTTTAATTTGTGTGCGATATTTGGATCAAACACATGTCCTTTTGCTTGTGTGGCAAAAAGTTTAGCAACTGAGCCATCTCCCCATCCCCAAGCCATTTTGGAGTCCACAGTTTGAAGCTTTATACAAAATGAATCCTATGTGTTTGATTAGATCAATAATAATCATTAGAGGAAGTGTGGGAGTTTGAATGTAACTGGCTCCCATAATCCAATAGGGAGCGGCACTATGAAGAGGTGTGGCTTTGCTGGAGTGGGTATGGCCTTGCTAGAGGAAGTGTGTCACTGTGAGGGTGGATTTTGAGTTTTCTTATGATCAGGATATCACCCAGTGAGCCGTCGACTTCCGGTTGCCTTTGAATCAAGATTTAAGCATTCAGCTCCAGCCCTACATCTGCCTGCATGCCGCCATGCTCCCTGCCGTGATGGACTGAACCTCTGAACTGTAAGTGAGCCACCACAATGAAATGTTTTTCTTTTATAAAAGTTGCTGTGGTCATGGTGTCTCTACACAGCAATAGAAATCTAACTAAGACAGAAGGCCAAATAATTACTTAACCAGTTTCCATAGAAAGTAGTGAATAGAGAAGCCACTCACTTATGCCCTGACTCATGAGCAATGGTGAAGGCAAGGCCAAGTCCTGTGTCTTCATTGATGGTACAGCTTCGGTACTTACTGCACATTCCACTGATTGGGGCAAATCCTATTAAAAAATCAATTTTAAATATTAACAGTAATTTGGTATATACATATACAGTTTAATGGATTAACACATTTAAGTTTTTTGCAGAAGAATATCGAATGTTTTTATCATCACAGAAATTTATATGACTTGACTAAGCTTATTAGAGTCAGAGAAATTAATATACTGACAGTTACACCAATGTATAATGTTAACTTAAGAGTGGCCTTACAGTCTAAGTATGGAATATACTCTCCAATTCTTTCCTGATCTTTCTCTGAAGCAAAAAACATAAGCATGCCCAGGTAACATGTACAGATCAAATTCACTTTTCTCACATTCACAATGTGACAAGTGTCCCATTCTCCAAAGTTACCTCCCTGTAAGAACAGTTACACAATCATTCCCATCATTTCTTGGTTCTATGTTGATCCACCTTATAGCAGAAGAATTTCTTCTTCCCAACTTTGAGATCTAACAACCATTAAAACAAGGGTTGGTGGCCATATAGAGTTAAATACATACTTGTGAACTGGCTGCATCCACCTCCATGTTAAGCCATGAGATCATCCAGGAAGTCTAATATGCAGGCACACATGTGTTATGGTAACATCATTACTTAACTAATGTGTTAATTATGCCACATGACAGACGTAAGGGAGCAAGCATGTAGACTAGGTGATAAGAGTTCACAGAGCTGCTAGATATGGGAGGGGTACTTGGTTATTGTGCGGCTGTCAGTGAAGTTGACTTGTCTATAGGTGTCTAGCTGGCTATTTCCAGCCTTGCTCTCAGTCTTACCTATTTACAACCTGGACAGGTAAGGTCTATGTTTTCTGATATATGGTGTTTTCTCAATACCCTAAATTGCACTGTACATGTAATATTTGCCTGTGTGTGTGTGTGTGTGTGTGTGTGTGTGTGTGTGTGTGTGTGTGTATAAGTTTTAAATTAGGTATATGAGACTCAGGAAGGTGAATCATTTGCTTTAGGCAGCAGAGTCCTGGACTTGGATATTCACAAGGCATATGTGAATGTTTAAGCCTGTATAACATGCTTCTTAAAGAGAGTGACCTATGGAGCAGATCAGGGATAGATTCTTGGTGGCGTGTTTGCTGTTTTCAAGCCTTTGTTTATACTTTTGTCTGCGGTTGTCTCCTTAGTATAACTTCATTAGACAGAGCTTCACTCATTGGTTTATGCATGTCTGTGACTGGTTTCCCACTAACACAGCAGATGTCAGTAATTCCCACTCTGCAGAGCATAGCATATTTACTACAGGACCCTCTACAGCAAAAGTTAGCAGACTTTGACCCAAATAACCCAATCCATCCAAAACCAAAGGTCCAGTTCCTGCTATGAGCAACTGAATCAGCTTGGAAATACAGCAAGCATGTAAAAGATACTATTCTTGTGCTGAATGTCTTGTGCAAAAATGGGAGAACAGAGTCCTTCCAAGTCAAAGAGCTTGCTAAAGAAGACACTGATAACCAATGACACAGTGAGGTATGATGCCATTCAACAGTTTTTCTTCAGCTTCCCAGTTATGTGGTCATGGTGCTAATAGAATGCCCTAAACTGTGTTTAATCAAATGACCTCTTTTACTTCATTGGTCATCAATTAGGGCAATAAAGAAAAATCACCAATTGATTGATATACAGACTCTCCATACCACAATAAATCAGAACACATTCATCATGGTACAAGGAAGCATTCCACAATTTAAAGACTTAAATATATCCAGGTGCCACATGAGGACCCCAGGCAACAAGTCGTGTCTTTATGTAACAGTGGTCTCACAGGGAAAATGGTGTCTAGTAAAGTCACAGCCATCTCAGGATACCATACCTAGTGTGTCACATGGTTCATTCTTCCAGGAACAAATGTCAAATCCCGTGAGGAGGATGGCATGGTCATGCCTCTTGCCATTCTTTCCCACGAGCGCAGACTGCCACTGGCAGAAGCTATTTAGAGACTGGTCTGCATGGTGGTTGATCAGCAATCCTCCCTATGGGAAAGGTGCAGAGATTAGAGAGTGATGATCTTGCCAGAGTGAAGAAGGTTGAATCACTGTGGCTGTGACAGCAAATGCAGAAGCACCATCTTTCTAGGGGAAATTATCGGTAGAGGAAAGCCACTGAGCCAAGAGCTACCAAAAAAAATCTAGTTTAGGTTAATATAAATTTTAAAGTAAACTTGAATTTTCAGTATGCACTTTCTACCTAACTACATTTTTAGAATCAAAAGCGTTTTTGATCTTGATAAATTTATTCATATGGAAGTTCAATAATTTCTTCAATAAAGCATAACAAAGACAGCATCCATAGTTTACTGCTCTATGAAGTTTGGTACTTAAGAGGCTACAAGTAATCAATAACACAATGTGAGTTTACTGAATGGAGAACCATTTACTAGAGATTAGATTTGGAGAGATGGCTCAGATGTTAGGAGCTCTGGCTGCTTTTCCAGAGGACCCATGTTCAATTCCTATCATGACATGACTCACAACTGTCTATAACCCCAACTCTGCAGGATCCAACACACTTTCCTGGCCTCTGTGGGTACCAGTACATTCATGCCATGATGCAGATATATACAGGCAAGCAAAACACCCACACATTAAATAAAAGAAGAAGAAAAAAGACAGAAACTCTTCTTAAAATAACCATTTATCAAAATGGTTTGTTTAGGCTAAACCAATGACTTAGGTCAAGTCAAATGTTTAGATGATAATTCTATCAATGAATCAGGGTGCTGCTGGCTTCAGTATCCTTGAGCAGTGTGTGACTAGCACACCAACCCATGTGTTTCCCAAACAACACATACCCTATCTTTCTAAAATTCCAGGATAACTTCACACAGCACAAACCTTTGTAACTCTACACACCTGGGTAATTAGATCCATTTTCTTTTCCTTGTCTCTGGCTGTCTTTTTTTCACATTCTTTATTGGGGTTAGAGTTGAAGAGGAAAAGCCCCAGGGGCTTTGAAAAATTGTCTGTCTGATTGGTGAGATCATAGAGGAAAATAGAGCTTACAGATGAGAACCCTGCAGAGCAGGGAGTACTGTGCGACTGAGCACATTATTTTATGTTCTGTTTTTGCACTTTCCCCAATTCCTCTGTCATGCACCTCACCGTAATCAATTCAAGGCAGTTGAAGGCCCTTTGTTTATTTTTTTTGTCATTATTGGTGCTTGGGAGACCATAGACTTACTACAAGAATTTTATGATGGTAAATTCTCAAAATATACTTATGTATTCACCGTAGTATTAGTTAGTGTATTTGACCTATGAAGTCTATCTAACCCTAAAAAGCTATGACCAAATTCACCTTTATCATAAGGACTGCATATTTATACCAAGTATTTACATTTTGTATATTGACAATGTTTTATATGTATTTAATATTTACATATAACTGTTGACACATGTATGAATATATTATCTAGATTGGTATATGAAGGATTGTTTTGTGGTAACTTAGCTCAGTGACCCTTATTAGAGTGCACTTGCCCTGAGGAGATGGTTAGCTGACTTTCAAATATAAGATTCATGCACTGGTATACAGTAGGTATTCAATAAATGCATCCTCTACCGCACAACAATTGAATAAATGAAGTTTGCCACTTACAGGTTCTTGCTCCAAAAGGATTAGGCTCACAACCACGATATTTATATCACTTCCAATGGTCCCATCTTTGAACAAGCTAGAGACCTGTTGGGACAATTAAAGCCAAACAGCATCTTTTAAAGACACAATCCTGCATGGAAAGAATCAATCAGACAAATTGATAAGGATGTCGGCTTCAATTTTATCAGATACATACATGGATCTACAAGAGTGGTTTTCTTAACATTCAAAATTTTCAATTAAGAAAAAAATGTGGTTAAGTGTGTGCCATTCCACCCACACAAGGGTTCTTGATGATGCTCCTTACCATATTCATGACTGTGAGAATGTACGTGGTAACATCACCCTTGCCGTGTTTTTCCACCATCTTTGCATCTGCCACCACGAGGGTTTCTACATTGAGACCCTTTTGTGACTTTCCAGCTGATCTTCTGGGCCGCCCTGTGCCCCCATATTCATCAAAGCGTAGATAGGTGTCCTCTGAAGGAGGCTTGGGGGCATCTGCAGCAGACAGAAGAGCATTTGGAAGGAAGATTGTCAGAAGAAATCTGGGTGACGCAGGCCGAAAGAGCAAAGACAATGGGGAGGTGACACTGGGCATCTCTGTTGCCACATGCCCTGGGGCTTTGCACCTGAGATCCATTCAACAGATGCTTAGATGCATGGATGGGTGAGCTGATGGACAGGTGGACAGACAGGTAGATCCAGAAGTGTTAAAAATGCTCAGAGGTAAGTTAAAGAAAACAAGCTACAATTCTAGTTGGCAGACAAGCAGGTCAACAAATGTCAGTGATGGAAGGAGAAAAAAAAATTTCACTTTGGGAATACATTGACTATGTAATGCCAACAGCCAAGGGAGATGGCAGAAACACTATCTTGTATCCAACCCTGACAGCTCCGATTTGTGTGAGGAACCCTCACCTGTCTGTGTTGAGCAGTGTGGGACCTGGTTGCCATCTGTGGCTACCAAGTTAGTGGAATGAGGCTGGCGAATACGAAGATCAGGTATTTTATAAAATAAAAAAAGGTAATATATTTAACTTGGCCCCTGGAAAATACAAACATCTTCAAAACAATGAAGTATCTAAAAATCTACCTTTTCAGCATTGAGTCTTATGAGATCTACACACAGATTAAACATTTCCAATGGAAATTTGTTTATTAGAATTGACACTGAGTCATAAGAGTAAATTAAGTACATTTCCAGAATACAATAGGAAAGAGAAAATTCAATTCTTCCCTAGAAGTTTGCTACATTGTTTATAATTTGAGATGACAATATTTTGTATGTTCTGAGTTAGATAAGAATGCTACTGAAAGCAATTTGCTTTTAAACTTTTATGATTTGGGAGTTTTGTTAACAGATGTATGAGTGAGTGTGTGGTGTATTTGTGTGTGTGTGTGTGTGTGTGTGTGTGTGTGTGTGTGTGTGTGTGTGTGTGCACATGCATGTGGAGGTCAGAGGTTGACAATGGATGTCTTCCTCCACCAATCTCTATCTTTGAGGCAGGGTCTCTCAGCTGCACCCAGAGCTCATCAATTCAGCTAGTTTAGTTGCAGATTGTCCAGTAGATCCCGTTTTCACCTTCCTAATGTGCAAAGATTACAGGGTGTGGGTGGGGGAAGGGAACCTGGCATTCACATGGGTGCTGGGGATCCGAACTCTGCCTCTCATGCCTGTGCAGCAAGTGCCTCATTACACTGAGCCATCTCTTTAGCTCTTACTTTTGATTTTGTTTTTAATGGCATAATCTTATGTAGCCCAGAGTGGACTTAAATCTCTATATAGCCAAGGATGGCTTTGAACTCCTGATTCTCTTGCCTTCAGCTCCCAAGTGCTGGAATTACATCACTATGTATACATCACTATGTTTGCCTTGAACTGGTTTTGAACATAGTTGTTAGGAAATGCAAACTTACATTTGGTTCTTATCTACTGGACATTGCTGGTCTAGAAAAGAGCAAAAGAGACTGGAAATACAGCTTGGCTGGTTCAGAGCTTTACTGCCTATAGGTAAGGCCCTGAGCTTGACCCCAGAACTGGGGGAGGAGGAAACAGAATGGTCTTTGTCAAAAAAGGGGCTCATTACACATGTCAAGCTAGGTTTGACCTCATAATTCTTCAGCCTTCCAAGTGCTGGTATTATAGGTATCTACCACTGGCTCACAGGGCATGCCTAAGAGTTCCCCTGCTCTCTGTCTACTCCCCTTCAAGAGATGACATTCCTGGGAGGTTTCCTGAGAAGTCTCTGTGTCTCTAGAAGGAATGCTCAGCCAAGGCATTTATCTCTGATTTTTATTTCTCACTATAGAAAGCTGGGTACCCTCCCTAAGACCACAGAAACTAAGATAACCTTTGGTTAAAACTGGGAGATGCTAAAAAAGCCAAAAAGGACCCGCATCCACATCTTTCCTAGTTGAACCTAAAAGCCATTCCTTCAGCATGAGATTTTACCAGTTCTTCCATAAGGCAGCATCTGAGAACAGTCAGTGTAGCCTCACTGACCTGCCACGTTAGTGAACCCAGCGGCCCCCAGGACTACCCATGGAGGACCTCTTCAGAACAGACAAGGAAAGTCTCCTTACATACATTTCTTGCGTCGTCCACAGAAATGCTGCCTTTGCCGCCTTCGATGGCGGTACTCTGTCTCTTGGCTCTGGGAGGCAGGGGGAGTGTGACTTGGGGAGTGACCAGGATAAATCCGGTGGGAGCCAGGGTAGTCTTGGTACCGCTGGACCCTCTTCTCTGCTGTCCTTTTGTACAGGACGTGAGGATGGTGGCCTGCAGGCGAGCTGTAGTTGTGTTCCTGGGCCAGCAGCTGAGGTAGCGGTGAGATGAGGAATTCATTGTCTCGTGTCCTTATCAGACCTGACTAAAAAAGCCAAACACAAGAGCACACTCATGACTCCATGCGTTGTCTTTTTCTGGGTTGATTCTTGGCATCTTTGCATGGATTAATTCCTGTGACGGGGCACTGTGCAAAATGCTTGATATCTGTTTGCCTTTTTAAAATTACAATTGTGTGTGTGTGTGTGTGTGTGTGTGTGTGTGTGTGTGTGTGATGCATGCATTCCTCTATGTGGAGGTCAGAGGACAATTTATAGTAGGCCATTCTCTCCTTCTGTCACATCATCAGACTTGGGGTCAAGCATCTGTGCCTGATGCACCCTCTTACTGGCCCTGTCGTGTCATTTTTATCTGTGTCATCACATGTTGCTGTTATAACTCCAGTTTTACAAAGGGGGCAATAAAAGACTAAGTGAGTTGGCACTCTATTTCCTAAATCAACATTAATCATAGGTATCCCATCAACTGTATTTTTTAAATGTATTTATGGTAGTAGAGGGATCAAATCCAGGGCCCTACACATGTTAAATGCATCATGGACCCCTAGGCTATCTGGCTAGGCTGCCAATATTTTATGCTTTAATTGATTTATTTGTGTACATGCTTGTGCATGTATGTATTTGTGGATGTATTTGTGTGTGTTTATGTGTGTATGCTCCATGTATGCATCTGAAAGCCAATGAGAAGGAGGATGTTGGGCATCCTGCTCTATTACTCTGCCTTATTCCCTTGAGATAAGGTCTCTTTACTGAACCTGGAGCAAGGCTTGCAGCCAGTAAGCCCCAGCCATCCTCCTGTCTGCACATCCACAGTGCTGAGATTGCAGGTACATAAAACCTTATCCAGATTTTCATATGGGTGCTGGGCTTTGAACTCAGGTCCTCATGCTTCTAGAGCAAGCACTCTTACCCACTGAGCCATCTCCCCAGGCCCTAGACTGACAATGTCAGTAAGTGTTTTTGGAGGACTGAGCTAAGGGATGTCCTGCTTAAATGGCTTTGACTGATAGACCCTGATGAAACCTAGATGGAGTGGTGAATAGAAGTGTTCATGGCTTGTGTAGTAAGAACAAGGCCTCTCATTCTGATGCTGTACGTGCTAAAGTCATGGAAGGACTTGCAAGAATGGCTGAGGAAGGAGCATGCAATGGCCTCTATGTGGAGGTCTAGTGACTTCCAATGAGTTGCATCATCATAAAGAGATGCATTTGTGAAATGAAGAAAGGACACCCACTGATAAGCCCACAGTCACGATTACATCTTCCAAGCTCATGGCATAATCCATGATGTACTGTCGTACCAAACATGTAGCCATGGCTTGCCCTTGGCTTGCAGCACAAGGTTCATAGCCAGGGTACCCAGGCCTCCTGTGGGAACTGTGGGAACTGAACCAGTAGCTTCAGTTTTGCTCTGGAGCTTGTGAGTAGAGACAAGTCTTATGGTCCCTCCCCAGGCCATTTGAATCTGGATTTGTATTTCTTATTAAGACCGGCAGATGATTAGAATGCACTGCATCCTGCATGATGAGGTCTGAGAAACAGGCCTGTGGTAGTAACGGAATGAACAGAGGATAGACTTAGAGACATAGGTACAGAAAAGTTCTGATGGACGATTTACCAACTATGCAACAACCCAGAACCTCAGAGCTTTTATTAAGTACAGCAAAGACAGAGGGGTTAGCTAGTTTCAGTAGAGAGTCTACAGGAGAGCAGTCTCAAGCTGCAGTCATCTTTGAGGAGGAAGGTTTAGTAGCTAATTTTTGCACACACTGCTTAGTCGTTTATAAACACTCATACTGACACACACAGTCAACACTTGCACTCAGACCAGAGAAAGGCTTTGGCAGCTCCAAGTCTGACCTGTACAGGGATCCCTTTGCCATTCCTATGGGTCTGAGGTACTGAGTCCTTGACGTGGCCTTGTCCATGTCAATAATACATTCACTCAGGACTTAGTCTACTATGAACACATCCTTGGTTCTGCATACGCATGCCCACTAGAGTTTAGGAAGCACTGATTGAGGCCTTCAGATGTGCTGCTCATTAGCACCAGCAGGAATCTCAGACACATGCACATTATGTCCCTGGTACCTCTGGCTTTTTTTTTTTTAACCATCAGGTGATTAATAAAATGTACAAACAAGTTATGAACCCATGCTTGAGGCCTTCCCTTCACATGCAATGAGGGAGATTTTGACCTGCCTTGACCACTTTACAAGGAGAGACAGAACAAGCATGGCAGAAGTCCTTTGTATCTTTTAGGCTGCAGCAATTCAGATGCTGATAACGATGACTCACTGAACCAACACATGCTCATTGAGCATCTGCCATGTGCCATACAATAGGCAGGACACGCCATGCAACAGTGCAGGGGAATTTCAAAGCGTGTGGTTAGCTGTCTGGGTATGTGGCTGTGTTGGATCAAAGGCAGCTTACACAGGAATACGAAGTCAGCACCTCTCCCAGGCTCTAGGATGCAGTGGGGCAGAGTGGATGATGGGTATCAGAGTTTAACCCGATGTTAGAGTCCAGCTTTGCTTCCCTAAAAGAAGCCCCAGAATATATTATTTGGTCTTGTTTTTTTCTGCCCTGTCAAAAGTTTGATGATTTCTGAGAAAGTATCTTATGGATATTGACATATTTAGATCATGGGGTCCAAAAAGAAAAAAAAAATGGCTTCATTCACCAGGCACATTGGGCACCTAAGTCCTGATCCTTTCTAGGCACTGGCATGTACGAAAGGAACACAGAATAAATAGAAAGGACATTACATTTGTGTCCTCGTGGAGATTATGAGAGAAGAGGATCAATCATATTAAAAAGCATTATTGGGCTGGGGAGATAACTCAGTCATTAAAGCGGTGGCCATGTAAGCACAAAGACCTGAGTTTGAGCCCCAGAATTCTCCCCCACAATCAGTAGGCATGGCAGCACACCCCTGGAATCCTGGTGCTGGAGAAGCAGAGACAGGAGGATCCCTAGGACTCATTGGTCAACCTGCTTAGTGAGTTCCAGGCCAGTGACATACCCTGTCTCAAGAAACAAGTTGATGACTCCTGAGGAAGGCCACCTGAGGTTGTCCTCTGCTCTCATGTACATATACGTGTGTGTGTGTGTGTGTGTGTGTGTGTGTGTGTGTGTGTGTGTATGTGTCCGCTCACACGGGAACACACAAATGCATACAAACTGAAAAAAGCAAAATCCCACCATCCCAGACATGCACCCTCCCACTCCCCACCTCCTACTTCTAGTTCAGGCAATGCTACCAGAAATTTCCATCTTTAATCTTGACACTTTCTGCCTAGTCCTCGGCACCAGCCAGAATTCTCATCAAAGATAAATCAACACATATAGCACTCTCTGCCATCCATCTTCTTGCCAGCTCCACAGATTTCCGAATGGTCCCTGGGGGCTTCATCTGTCCTCTGTCCCTCTCCACCCCATTCTAAACCGAACGCTTTTTTCACACTTTGACCTCTTCTTCCCACCAACTGGCTGTTTCATATTTATTTTCTTCCTTTGAAATTTTCTAGTAAACTTCTTCGACTACCGGTAGGTATCTCAGACACATGCACACTGTCACAGCTTCCTCTGCCTTTTTCTCTCTTAGCCATCCAGGTGGTCAGTGGAATGTACAAACAAAAGATGAGCCTGTGTTCCTTTTGAGTATGCTAGTCGCTGGTGTCCCTGCTACTGTGCCATGTCCTCAGAGAAGCTGGAAACCACCCTGTCCCCTTTCCAAAGGATCACAAGCCACGGTCAGTAGTCTCCCTAGCTCTCTCCAATGAGAGAAATAAAATCCAGGTCTTCCCACACCTAATACAACATATCTGTGATCATGTGGACCACACAAGAATCCTCAGGGCAATTCCCATGCTAACAGACAACAAATATTGGTTTCTTAGTCAACAAGCATGTGTCAGAGTGGAGACTAGGTGGGGAGCAGGCCATCAGGAAACAGGAAGGAACCAGGCTTGGGAAGTAAAGGGAAATCCAGGTGCAAACCCAAGTGGAATCCGGGGTCTCCATTTCCTGTGCAGAGCCCTCTCCTCCAAACCATACTGGCCCCTCTTCGAAACTACACACGGACAAAAGGCCCTATTTACAGCCCTCCCCAGACAGAGGCATTAGCTGAAAGGGAAAAAAAAAATGCCTCAAAAGCCCTCCAGCTTTCTTTACTTCCTCACTTGGTTCAACTAATATCCTTTAAGTCACTTAAGTGCCCTGACTGGACGGACCGGTTTGCAAGTTTTCTCTTTTTTCCCCCACATCACAAAGACTCTCGGCTGCTCAAAGGCACAGGGGTCACTTCTGTGTTGAGACATCAATAAAATAGTCATCCTGAGGCAGGATGGGAAGATAGGGATAATTCAGTGGATGTGGTGAGGGAAAGCAGCCCCTCTCCCTGAAGTCTGCTTAAAACCTCTTGCTTGTTGAGAAGCAACCATCACCAGCACAGATGACATCATTCGCCATGAAGCAATGTTGTTTTTATGGAGAGATGTTGTAAATAAGGGAGTTAAAATAGCAAGGATTCATGCTGAAGGCTTCTATCCTTCCCTGGCTTCAATTTTCCAGGAGCCTCACAAACCCCATTTACACTAAAAGAAATGCATGATGCCCCTTGAGGGCTATGGTTTTATCTTATCAGATTTAATCCCATCAAAGGCACCCCTGGAGCCAATCTCTAATCTCAGTTATCAAGAAAGAGGGGGATTCTCAGCAATCCTTTGATAAGTAACTTAAAAGACACCCACATTGAGTTTGTGGGTGCTACTCAGACACTCAAGTGGGACTCACCCGTAAAATGCCCACCCACACATGAGTGAGTTTTACTTTTTCCCTGATTACTTCTCTTTATATCAATCCCCATGCTTAACTCTATGTTAAAATATTCTCCTAATAAATCTCAGCTGTGTTTCCTATTGGATCACCTTGCAATTCTTTTCTACGGCTAAGTCAAGACTCTAGCTTCTCTTGAGTGGACATCTCTTCAAAGACCCTTTCAGCTACTACAGGAGGCAGCA